GAAATTGTCAAAATGAAGTGTACTGTGTCTGAAGCCAAATGCTGAAGTTCAGTTTAGTTTTTGCAAATGGGTAGAATATACTTTGGCAGTTATAAAATAATGGGCTTCGTATCAGTTGCTTAGAGGAGCCTATGCAGATCTGGCCCTTTGGAACTTGCACAGAACGTGTGGAGGTTGGGTCAGCAGGCATGAGCCTGCTCCATTTTCCATGGGTTTCAAGTAAGTATATATTGCAGACAAAGAATGAGGAAGGTACAATGCAGAAGCAGAGCTTTTCAAGCTCTGGGCTTGCTGAGGGATTCTTAAGTGCACCACTGATTCTGAGTGATACATCTTTACTTATGGGAATAAAATTCTATTTTTAACGGTCACTTGAAAAATAGCCCTCTTGGTAGAAAATAAATGGCCTGAATTTTATCCATGAACTTCCGCACTTAGTCTTAGAAATTGATAATTGCTTAAAATCGTTTTATTTGCAGATTCTAACTTCGCTGGCGCTTGCCATTAAATGTTATTAAGGTTATGTTTACTCTGTGGAGACAGCATTTGCAAGTCACTATTAGCATAGGCTTTTTCTTTGCTTCTGGCTGAATGATAAGCATGTCTACTTGGAAGTAATTCCCATTTAGTTCCACTGATTTAATCCTATATTTATGTGTTTATTATTGTATCTTTAGACTTTAATGCATGAACTGACTATTTTGGTTTTCTCTGTACAGCTTGTGTGTTTCCTTGCATGTGATTGGTCTAAACTCTTTGTATGCCTAAGGGGAGATGTGTAGTTTAGATAACAGAAAGTTGATGTAAACAGAAGCTATTCAAAGAACTAAAATAAATTGACTTGCTTTGAATAAGTGTTCCATGATTCACGATTTATGGAGATTGATCAGACAATTGCAACATGGTCACCTGAAAGGCATGTAAAAATCTGTCTGATTAGGGAAGGGAAGGAACTGGCTATTTAAAAGCACAAAACATTTCATGTAGCCCACCTAGACCAAACTTTAAAGTGATCCTTCTGTTTCAACATGTTACTGACTATCTGTTTATCAGCTCATATTTGGAATCCTTCTCTGAAGAGTTTTCACTGAGGATGAAAGGTGTTCAGTTGTCTTTTGTGTGATTAGCCACTTCTGCTCTTCAAGCTTTACCCCTGTTGTCAATAACATGAATGAAAACACACGCCTTGCCAGAACAAAATGGCTGCATGGGCTTTTGGAGAGTCGGTTCTCATTTGTGCTTAACATGATAAGTATTAAGTGTGCAAGTCAATTGTACTGATCTGACCATACTCAGAGAAGAATGTCAGAGGCTGTTCTTGTGTGCCTACTTGTAAGAGCAGTTTGGGGAGGGGGAAAATGGCAGGATAGGGCAGGGACCAGTTGCACTGCTGAGCAAAGCAAAACGTGAGCACAAGTTCCAAGGCCTTGTGGCTTTTGATAGATATTCATGAAACATCTAGAGGGGATATGATTCCAAGATTTCTTTTGTTTGATGGTCCTGATAATGTGGTACTTTCTACCACTTGTGTATGAAATTTCTGGCAAAGTGGCTTGCTTGCAGAGAGAGTTCAGTATGAGAGATAAAGTAGTTAAATGTTTCTCTCACTAGGATGATGTCCAGACGTCACCAAATTATGATTTTAGGGAGATGTGAATGAGCCCAGCCTCTTTCTGAACTGCACACTTTCCTTTTTCCTATTTCTGTGTACCTAGGAGGAGGCATTTGGAAATCCTCACTTCCATATTTGGTTGGCCCCAATTTGCCTTGTTGTTTGTACTCAGAACTGAGATCAATTTAATGAGAGAGTTTCCCTTTGATGGTTGTGGGACGGGGAGAAGCCCTCAGTGCCCCTCTTCTCTCTTCAGCCCTTCGTACCCTCACTTCAGAGTCAGTAAGCCCTATTCATCCCTGTAGCATCCCTGTCTCAGGGATCTATAATCTGAGCATCCTAACTTGTTCTTTTTCACTCTGAGTCTTTCACGTATTTATAATAAATCCCCTAGATTCTCCCTGACCCACACCATAGCATCTTAACATGATAAGTTCTCCCCATTAGGTTGCTTTCCCTGAAATGGTAAATGGACTTGCTTGTTCTCTTAGGCTGGGCTTACACAGCAGTCTCCATTCCTTGTGCAAGGAAGCACTGGGCAGTCAGTTGCTAATGTGCCAATCCAGTTCCATCCTGGTTATTTTTACTTCTTATCACTTTGCTTATGGCATGCAATGGAGACAAGTGCCAACTGTGCACAACCTCCCACATTTAACTGTGGTTTGTTTAAATAAACCAGCTTCAGAAACTACAGTTCGAAAGTTAGTTTAGTGGTTACCATGATTGAGTCTATAACCACAGTTTGTCAGATTCAGTAGGCATAACAAGTTGTGTTTAATCAAAAATGGAAACAAAAGCTTTCAAAATTGACATTATGGTCCTGTGGGAGTAGTACAGGGAAAAAGTGTGACCCCGGCAGGATGCTCAGCACATATTTACCTAAATTGTAGTTGAGTATGGTATCGGGATGGAGCCAGTGAATTTTGATATGCCTGGACAAGAAGTGACCTTGTATAATGCTGCTGATATTATAGTTTGTTCTGCAGGCCACTTCATGGCATTCAGATTATTGGGCTGGTTCTAGGACTTACTTTCCACAAGAAGAAGAGGCTTTCTGGGTTCATTTCCTCTTCACCCCTGGACAGCAAAGCACACACCACTCAGCAGATTTTCCTAGCTTTCCGTGCAGCATTTTTAGGAGACTGAAGTGGTACTGTGGGAAGTCTGCTGTGTGTGGGGAAGTCTGCCATGGCAGTCGATCAGTTGTAAATCTGGATCCAACTTACCTTGTTTAAGGATTGCATGAAATATTACTGCAGTGCTGGTGTTAATACTGTACTTGGCGATGATAGACTGCTTCATATGCCCTTGAAGAGGTCATTTGACTGTGTAATTTTTAATGGCGGGACATATACAGGTTTCTTTTTAAGGATTTGATGGTATGCCAAGTTATCTGTTTACCACTACAGTGACAAGGCAGAGAGGAATGAAATAAAAGCTGGCCGTGGTCTTTTTCTTCCAAAGAGTGCAGGTGGTGAGCTACTAATGGGGAAGATGGATTCTATCTGAGCTTCCTGGGGGAGGCAAGACTTCTTCCAGGAACTCCAGTTTAAGTTTCTGCCTTGTGGTGGGAGGCAGGTATTCCTGGTTCTCATCCAGTGAGATCAGCTATGGAGAAAAAAGCGGGGAGATGTAAACAAAGAGGAAGAGGGAAAGAATGGAGGTGGCCCGCTCCACTGGGCATTCAGGTGGATGGTGTGGACGTTGGGGCCCCAGGAGCATAGACTGCCCCACCACAAGCTTCCCACCTGCCAAGGAAGTAAGAAGTTATAAGTTTACTAAAATAAAAAATGGGCACAACCATAAAACAGAGGCTACCTAGAGAAATGCCACTATTGCAAGATCTTGTTAATACCCATATATCCATAATTCGATATCTGAGAAGTCTCTCTATGAGTGTTTTTAGACTTTTAGAATGGATCGTAGCAAAATAGTGATACAAATGTTCATACAAGGTGCCATAGTCTTAATAATGGCCACTTGGTAGATATTTGTGTATCTTATGAGAATTTTAATAATTTTTGTATTACTTTCTGAACATGCTGAGAAGAATCCAATACCTCTGTGGTGCAAACCCTTCTTCTCTGGTACATGTATCTCCTTGCATCCTTCAGAATCTACCCCAGAGGACTCCCACCCCTTCATGAAGAACTTCATAAGTTTGCACTGTTTTACTCTAGTACATTAAAACTGTGCCTTGGATTTTAGAACGCTGGTTTTACTTTGGATGCATGGCTCATCCTACAAATGCAACCATAGTAATCTATATTGTTTTCAGCTCTCTGTACAGCAATATGGTAAATATCATATTGAACAAGTCAACATACCATTTGACTTGAAAACTCAGGGATATATTTCCCAGTGTTGGTTTCTCTTGGGCTACAGTTAATGAGAAACAACTTGCTGCTTTTTCTCTCTGTGTGACTGGTAGAAAGCATGGTAAAACCTGGCAAGCATATTAGCTGCTTGAGTCAAATATTATTTATTATTTATCATATTTACATTCTACATTTTTCCTATGGGGAACCCAAGGCAGCATACATGTCGTTTCTCCTCTCCATTTTATCCTCACAACAGTATGTGGTGTAGGTCAGGCTGACAGTGAGTAACTATCCTAAAGGCACCCGCTGAATTTCATGGCTGCATGTGGCCCAGAACCTGGATCTCCTGAAACCAATTCCAGCACTAATCACTATGGATGATTCATTGTAATGTAGATATTGGGTGCTCCATTTGACCACATTGATTCATTTGGGAAGTTGCTGGGTGTATAACATGCCTAAAAACTTAGAATTGTTCTTATGGAGCGTGGTGTGGCACTGAGTGAAAATAATACACCTATTCATTGCTTTTTTTGTAAGAAAAAAGCTACTGGAACACATGAAATTATTTACCTTTTGCACGTAGTCAATCACTGTACACACCCGACAGTTGTGTAACGAAACATAACGGTTGCCGCCCACGGTAAGCACTCAGCACGCGACCACACGGCCAATCACAAGCCGAGCAGCACCACAAGCCGAGCAGCACCATCACAACCAGTGCGGACGAGGTACGCATGTATCGGATTCGACACACAAGCAGCTCGCATGCACCGTTTTAATGATTTTGCTGCTGACCTGCTACGCTCAGCAGGGTGATTCAAATCCATGTGGACCAAACATCAAATTTTCAAAAGTTACTTTTAAAACTTGGACAATCTGTCGAAAGAAGGTGCCGGAACAATGTTCCAGTGTGTTCTATGACAAAAAAAGCACTGCACCTATTTATATAGAGTGCTTTTAAATGTTTGAACTGCTTCTCATCCCTTATCTCAGTCATCTTGTGTATTAAATGATTTGGTGACTCTTTCTGCTTGTAGATGCAACAATATCAATTATATTTTCAGGTGTGAAAGCATAATGGCGGGCAACAGTTTGGTCCTTCCAATCGTGCTATGGGGACGCAAAGCACCCACTCATTGTGTATCAGCTACGCTGCTAATGGATGATGTGTCAATGATTGTAACGGGATGTCACGATGGACAGATATGTCTTTGGGACCTCTCTTCAGATCTAGAAGTAAGTTTAAATAGTGCACTTTCCGATGCCTTCCGAAATGATGAATAAGTTTTATTTAAATAGAATTGTAATACCTCCATTGACAGCAATGCAAATTACAACATTTATGGACAGTTCTAATCTGAAGTGGGTTGGGTTTTGGAAATCTACAGAGCATGGTTACAGTATGTATGCTTCTCTCTAAGCATATCCTTGCTGCTTGAGCTGCTGCATAACAATCAATATATGTTATTGATATTCATAGGCTTGCTTTTGTAGGAGAGAGTGTTGATTTTTTTTTTTTTTGAAAAAAATCATTAAGCCATGGAAAATCAATGAGCCCTGCTAAAAAAGCGACTCTGTAGGGTCCTCTTTCCCCCTGACCTTTTGGAGGTCAACTTGCTAGATCAATTTAACATGAATAACTAATGCAGATACTGAGCCTGGGAATATACTGTTTCTCCTAAACAATTCTTCTAAAACTACTCCTGATTTGTTTATTAGTTTGTTTTTGGTGGAAAGATACAGTTAGGTGATGGTGGTGGCTGTGCAAAGCCTTTGAAGACTGGGAAGGGTTGAAACTGAAATACATAAACTGAAACTGAAATGGCAGATCAGATATTTACTCTTTGCCCCCCTTTAAAACCAGTTGTGTTTATTTCAGGCATGTACACAATTGCAAGAAACCATGGCACTTCCTTGGTGGTTGAATTATTGTGGCAATTAATTCAAGCAGTTATCTGCTCTGTGAAATTGCAGTAACTTTTAAAGTAAAGTATTTCTTTTCCACTTGTCTTTTCTTTCTGGATAAGGGAAACAAGTGATGCCTGATTCAGCCAGCATAATACCAGTTTTCAGTTGCTCAATCTCATTTAGAGGCACAGATGCCAGTTTTAAGTAGAGAGCTGTTTGGAAACAAATAGCAGTACTTTTTTCTTTTAAGTGTCAGGGAATCCTGACATGAAAGCAGCAGTGCAAAGCAGCATTTTTATGCTGGATGCTCATACTTCTCCACCAGTTCAAGGTGCTTAGTCAACTTCTTGCACCTTTTAGGATGCAAAGTACACGTGTCAATTACAATGGCAAAGATGGCCCCACACAGTATTTGGATATGTGATAAAGGGCTTCAGCTTTCATAAATCACAATCTGATTCTTGTATACACATAAAACAAGAAAAAAACATGAATTAGACTTGCAACCCATTAGCCACAAGTTAGTACTTGAGGGGGCTAAATGGATAATAATTCTGTCATATTACAGGTAGGAATTACTTGATGTTTAGCATTCGATAGGAAAAATTAAAGCCAGACTGAATATTTTAAACCTGTTATCCATCCTTGGGAATGATGGGAATTGTAGTTTCAAGCATCTTGCAAGCACTAGGTTGGAGAAGGCTTTAGTATATGTTGCCACTCTCCATGCATATTGTTATGATCTTCAAGAACCAGCAAAGGCAACTTTGCACAGCAGGAACACAAGAATTGTTCTGAATGGGTTCTGGAATACCCATTGCCAGCTTGACAGAGTCCAAGTCTGAACAACTTTTGAAAGCATGGTCAACTTTGCTTGTTTGTTGGCCTACAGGGCTCAGAGTTAAGTTGGCAAAGGTTGAGAAAATGTGAGTGATAAGTTGAATGTTAGGAACATTTTAATCACAATTTTCCTAAGGGATGGATTGAGTAATCCTGTAGTTCCTATACAGCATCTGAGGGGAGGGGGTGGTCATAATATTGACCATATTCTCCCTCTGAAGCACTTCTGCCCAGCTGTTTTGCAGGGCATGATGCTCTGCAAGGAGGTACATAATCCTCCACTTTGGGAGGATTGTGTGCTTTTTCATACGATTGCAATAAAAAATCTTTTTCTAGTAAGTTACATTATCAGAATCAAACAGCCCATAAAATTGTGCTCTTAGTATATCCTCACTGATTAAAATTGGCCTTTGACAATTAATCTTGGGTTATAGGTGAGTCATCTACAATTAAGCCAATTAAAACTTGCAAGACTATATAATTGATTTGAAGCCCTGCTGGCTCCTTTTGTTCTCTCTGCCTCTGCCTCGCCCCTGCTCTTTCTCTCTGTGCATGTGTGTGCATACATGTTCACGTCTGTGTTTGTGTGTGTTTGCTCACCAATCTCATGCCTTCATAATAGGAACATAGGATGTTAACTTATACTGAATTGGACCTTTGGTTCACCTATAGATGTGGGAAATGAATTAGGCACCTTCTGCATGTGAACCAGGTGCCACATCACTGAGCTGTAGCCCTTCTTACACGATGAAATCAACTGTGTGTCTAAACTGGATGTGGGAAACCTGTGAGATCCATGCAGCCCTCAAAGAGGCTCTGTGGGTACCCAAGGTGCCACCCTCAAATTCCTCTCCTTGCATCTTGCTTACTATATGTATTTTCTTCCCTCTGGGGCATAAAGCTGCCTTTTTAACAACTCTGCCACAGTCATCTCTGGTTCCTCTCTCAAGAATAACATTGAGGAGGGAAACCTTATAGTAGAGAGGCCTGGAATGTCTTTTGCCACTCCGATCAGCTGTATTTCTCAGGAAACATTCATGAGGGGGAAGCTACAGAGTTCAGCAGGCTGGAGCAGCCATATCCTCTTCTAGGAGGGATAGGGGAAAAAAATCCCTGTCCAGAGAATAGAGAGAGTGTGTGTGAATGTGTAAAAGCTTTGCATGAGTTTATGTATCTCTGAGTGTGTGGGGGACAGATGGAATGTAGGACCCCGTGGTGACACAGTGTAGACTGTCACCATTTCTGTAGCTGACTTGCTGCTTTCAGGGCAAAAAGGTGCACATTCTGATATAAATGCATAAACTAACACGTCAAATTCATGGTTTTAATTTAAACAAGCAAAGTGTTTAAAAATATAATTTGTAAAGGGACATGTGTACAAGCTGAAGGCTTCCTTCATTTGAAGGTTGTGGCATACTCGTTTATGAGATGTCGACCGATTCCTTGGCACTGTGGGGAGATTAAAAACGACAGGCATTGGGAACCTGTGTCATTCACCTGTTTACTTTGCTTGGGTTGTGTTAATCATCGATGTAGGATTTAGCATCGTCTCAGTTCAGCTGGGATGCCAAGGTATGGTTTGGTGCTACATAAATGAGTTTGAGGCTCACCTGTTCTCCCTTCATTATATCCTTCCTGTTTGTGTTTAAATCTGAATTATAAACCGTGGCTTTGCATGAAGTCTGAACAAGGAGTCAGAAGAACTAGTTGAAGATATTATGTTGGCTGCTTCATTGTAAAGGAAATGATTCATTTAAGGTGTCTTTCAATGTTGCCATATTTTTTTTAAAAAACTTCCTGTACATTCTTTATATACATTCAGTTCTAACATCGTTGTAATGCAGCTTATATAAAGAACTACAGACATATCCAGTTAATTACTGGCAAAATGCTTTCTCCATAGCTTGGTACCTTTAGTGTAGGCAAATGTACTAAATTAACGATTCAGCAATCTTCTTGCTATTTTTTCCCTGCATTTTTCTGTTTCTCTGCTCCTAGATAAATCCCAGAGCTCTGTTGTTTGGTCATACAGCTTCGGTTACATGCTTGTCCAAAGCCAGTTCTTCAAGTGATAAGCAGTATATAGTGAGTGCATCAGAAAGTGGGTAAGTGCTTATTACTTGAGTTTTGCTTCATTCTGTTACACTATTGTTAGGTAGTATCACAGGCCTTTTTTGTGCAAGCTTTTCCACCATGGGTACAACCAGGAAGAGACCAAAAGCACTCCTTGGGCTTGTATCCTGGTGTTTGTCTCCAAAAGAGAAGTTAAGGAATGAACCAAGAGAGCCTAGGTTCAGGTGAATGCAGGAGAATGGTTGGTTAATTGCCCTTTATGTTGTTTAGGGAGATGTGCCTCTGGGATGTGAATGATGGAAGATGCATTGAATTTACTAAATTAGCATGCACACACACTGGCATACAGGTAAATGCTTTAAATATAGACTAAACTGGTTATGTATAAGCATGTATATATGTATAAGTGTGCTTTTTATCTCCTTTAATAAAATTATGTATTGTTCATGTAGGTATGTGGCAGCTCGAAGGCTGCAAATGTGAGCCATTAGTGAGCTTTTCAAGGAACTAGCAAAGAGAAAAGTTTGGGTTTCAGCACCATCCAGAGTGCAGACATAATGAAATTCAGAGAGCTGTTATGGAGACTTACTAGTGACATTTTAGTTGAATCAATCCCATTTTATTTGTGACTGCACATGCAAAAGGCAAAAATCGGTAGTATTTAACTTATATAGCCTTCTTCATAAAGAACCCGAGTGGCTAATAACATATATAGAAACGTGACTCTACATAATTAATGTGGAAATCATGAGTAAAAAATAGACAGAAAAATACAGTAAAACCATCAACAGTTAATAAAACCCCAAATATTGCACTTGCCTATATTTTATGAAGGCCTAAATGACAACAATTTGACAGCAATGCCAAATGATGTTTTGCAGAAGGGAGTGCCATAGCTGGCACATGTGTGGGTCCCACAGGTCACATTGCTCAAGGGCATCACTAGCAAAGGTTCTCCCACTGATCTTAAATGCAAGGATTGTCAGTATTGGAGAAGGTGACCCTTCAGGTACCTGGGTACGGAGTTGCTCAGGGCTTTGTACAGTAGTTCTGACATCCTCAATTGTCCTGATTAGTTCACTGGCAGTCAGTGAAGAGATTTCAAAGCTGGTATGATAAGTTCGCATTGCGCTGTCACTAACAACACATGGTCCAGTAACATTCATCCCCAGCTTTAGCTTCTGGTCCTCATTCAATGTAAGCCCCACTGAGAAAATTGCCAGAGGTCAGTTGAGACTACTGTTGCCAGTTATCGTGGTAATATTCCTATTCGATGTTGTCCAAACTCTGATTTTTACATTTTGGACAATGTAGCAAGGAAGCTGAATGTTCAGAATTAGGAATTGTTCTATCATGTTGTTGTTCAGTTGCACAGTCGTGTCCGACTTTTCGTGACCTCATGGAGCATAGCATGCCAGTCCCTCTTGTCCTCCACTGTCTCCCAGAGTTCACCCAAATTCATGTTCATTGCACCAGGGTTAAGCTGTGATTTAACTTGTTCAGTGTTACTTTCAGAAAATCTAGTATTTTCTTACTTATAGCTTTTATTAAAGGATGATTCAAAAACTTGCTATAGTATGCAGATAGGTTACTCATGTGATCTGAAAACAAATCATATGTTGTTGATTTTTAAAAAAATGCATGGTTGACTATACCTATACCAAATAATAAAGCCAGAATCTTAGAGGAGCAAGTTCATACAGCCTGATCTCTCCCACCAGTGGGAGTGGCTTTGATAAATAAGGCTTTGCCTAGCAGAGAAAGATCAGTGTTGTCTATGTATGAACCCAGCTCCTGGCTTGTCTCTCTTGATCAAGCCAGGAGTTCTAAACCAATGTCAGAGCCTGGCTACAGGCTCAGGCTTTTTTGGAGAACAACATACCAAGAGTCCCGGCTTGGATGCAAGTAAGATTTTTCTTGCTGGTCAGTTCCCGAGAACTGAAGCTGTTGGTGCTGGTAGGAGGAGTCAAGTGAGAAAGAGTTGGCAATGTGCACCCGTTTTGAGCAAAAAGTCAGGGTTTATTGTTTGGTGTGAATGTTACCAGTGAGAATGGTGAACTAGTATAGCTCTGAACGAATGTTTCCATTTTCTTCATTCAGTTTTATCAGTTCACAATTGGGACCCAGCGTGAAGGAAGACTGTTGTGTCACGGCCATTATCCTGAAATTCTTGTTGTGGATGCTACCAGCCTTGAAGTTCTTTATTCTTTGGTATCAAAGATCTCCCCTGACTGGATCAGTTCCATGAGTATTATTCGATCTCACAGAACACAAGGTGAGATTTTACAGGTCTTGTTTTTCTTGGCATCTGTATGAAGCAATGTTTGGAATTGGTAATATGATAGTCTGTCCTAGGTGCCAGTTTGATCATATTTGAACTGGTCCTTGTAAATGCAGAAAAACGTTGATCACAGATACTTTGCATCCTGTTCTGCACCTCTGGGACTGTGGCTGTGACTGTTCAACATAACTTACCTTTGGTTCCATCCTTTGTAGTTCTGTCCTTTTTGCACAAAGGCTGCCCTCATACCCTGCTGAGCATGAACTTTAGAGGTTTCCTCAGTGAACGCACCTCAAGCTACTAGTTTTATGTTGATTAGCTCTTGGATAGCAACTCATTTGGTAGGAAAGCTATAGCTGCGTTCCCATGAACTAGAACTTGACAAGGGTAATTCTTAGCTGCTCAACTGGAAAAGACTCCAGTCTTTCCTGTATGTCATCAGCATGAGTTCATAGACTCTGAGCCCAGATCTGTCAAACTATACCATGTCAACAGTTTTCTGATTCTCACACTATTGTGGTATTGAAGAAGACTTAAATACCTTGAAATATTCTGTAATATGATTATGTTCTGAGTATAGGAACACTCTAGGTTGCGTAATATGATTATGTTCTGTTCATTAACATTTGTAGATAGGAGGAAGGTTATCAGGAGGTATCTAGTGCAGTCCCTTTTGGCATTCCTGCAAGGAAATCTTGGCTTTTCACTTGCTAATTATATAAAAACAAGTCACAGACCTATTCTTAGCCCAGAGGCAGTTAGCTTTAGTATCAAGCAACAAGTCTATGAAAAATTTCTGGGAAAAAATGTATCATAAAGTATAAAAGAACACCATGATTGTTTCCTACTTTACATTATAGAGATGGGACAGAATATTCCATCTCATTTCTTGTACTCATCTCCTAAGTAGATGGGTGTGGGATAGATGTAGATATGGCTTATTGGGACTGGATGGAACAATTTGCACAATGAAATGACACATTTTTTTCTGGAATATGCTGGCTTCTGACTGCTCACCCATTTCCAGTGCTGGAAAACTGTGTTTTCCACAATGCATGAAGTGAGTAACAAAACTGAGTGGTTTCTCTCTGGAACAACACACAGATCTGGACTTGCTTGGAGAATAGCACATCAGGAGCAGGGGAGCATCGATACTCTCTTATATGTGCATTTCCAAACCAGGCCATTTTGGATTCCACATTCTGGTAAACAGAAAAAAATGTGAGGAACAGTGGGTAGAGTATTAAATTTAGCAATGAGAAAATTCTTGCACTCAAAGCTATTTGTTAGGATAAAATAAGAGCATTAAAGGAATATTACAGTTAAAGGCAGTTCCTGAGTTATGAATGTTTGTGTTACAGACAACCCATACTTAGAAACGGACTTCCGTAAAACCTAATGATTTTTTAAAAATTATTGTGAAAAACTGTCATCACCAGAGAGAGAGAGAGAAAGAGACTGAGAGACAGACAGACAGAGACAGGGGGAATGAGAACAGAGGGAAGGCTTCCAAAGAATCACAATAGATAGAAAGGCAGTGAAAAGGTAGACAGAAGGCCTCCAAAACATGCCTTATCCTGCCCATCTAGAAAGGGAAATCTCTCCAGCATTTCCTTGCTTCAAAGAGGAAGCACTGGTGAGGTTGGGTGGGGGAATGCTAGAGCTATTCATGGTTTTTCCACTTTTCCTGTACCCCTAGCAGGATCCTGTACCCCTAGCCCCCACAAATGTGGAAGGCCAACTATATGTGATCTGTATGTGATTACATACAAATTCATGTATACTTAAAGATGAATCTCCATTTTCTCAGTAAAGGAACTTGTTTGTAACCCAGGGGCCGCCTGTACTTTTTACAGAATCATAGCGTTGGTACATCTACTTTGGCATTATCTATATACTAGGTTTTTCCAACCCAGTGCCTTCCAAATGTATTGGACTAAAGTTCTCATCAGCCTAACCAGTGGTCAGGGATGACAGATTGAAGGCACTAGCTACTGGAAGGTACTTCACACTAACATGGTTCATATGAAATGTCAAACAGAAGAGGGTGAACTTCCCTGTGGAGCTGATGGTTCTGCATTATGCAAATCCAGGCTGTGGTGAGGGTACATTCCATCTTTCGGCTGTATGCAAATCTGCTGAGGGTGAATTGTTTGGGTGGTTAATTTTAGGGTTGTGGGTTGCTTGTTAACTTCTCCATCAACCCACTCTTGCTGGGCTTGCATGTAATGACAACCTGCAGTGTGCTTCTGACGTCACCTGAACTTACAGGATGGCAGCTGGAGCCATGACCTAAAAAAATCTTGTATGGAAATCCACCTAACCTGGTTTCTTGTGGCATGCAAATCAGCTCATTGATTAACAGTAGCTGTCCAGTGTTTCAGAGCGGGGTCTTTCCCAGTCCTACTGCAGATGCCAGGGACTGGAATTTTTTGCATGTGTATAACACATAGATGCTCCCTTGAGCTTTTCAGACAATGAATCCAATATGCAGTAAATGTATTTCTGTGGCTGCATCTCCATCACCTTTTCTTAATAATGGGATTGTATAGATTGTCACTGCCTTTGTGAAATAATAAATTTTTCACCTTCATTTTCCCTAGAGGATACTGTTGTAGCAGTGTCTGTGACTGGCATTCTAAAAGTGTGGATTGTAACTTCTGAAGTGAGTCACATCCAGGTAAAAAAGAATCAAACCTAACTTCATATAATACCTTCCACTTTTTAAATGAACCGGATTAGGCTCAGTGGCTTTGTATTATCATATATACTAGTGATCATACCAGTCATATGAGCTTTTATGACAGGAGTGTTCTCAGAAATACTTTCGCCTTTGCTCAGATATGTAAATTGACTGTAAACAGATAGACTTTTAAAACATACTTACGCATGGGCTTTTTGTCAGGGTGTGCTTATTACACTTAGAATTCCTTTATATTATGCGAAGAGGAAATTTCAATTTATATCATAAGTGACCTGTTTTTGATTTTGTTCTTCCCTGTTGTAAAATGTGGTTCTCTCTCTACCTCACTATCTATTTCACAGTTTCAGTACTCTTAATTAGTCTTGTTTAGCATTTCAGATGTTTTGAGAGCATCCATCCCCTGATCATGTTGCAAAGATTCAAAGAGCTTCTATTTCTTTGACTATTACTGGATGCTGAATGTAGCTAAACCTGCTAGGATGAAAGTTACTATCTGTGATGGGAAAGAGGGTGTTCTTGCCTACCCCAGTCTCCTATCTCAGCAAGCAATTAAGAGGGAATTTAAAATGGTATTCAGCATTTAAAAGGAAATAATATATACTGACAATTGTTATGTTTGAAATCTATCCCCTGAGGGAGGTTTTAAGACTGCAAAATTAGCAGGAAAGGCTGATAAGAGAAAGATCAACCCAGCTGCATATCTTTTTTACAAGGATGCCAAAGAAGAGTAAAGAAATGAAGCCTGTTGGCAAATATTGCACTAGTAAATCGTTTAGCATTAACTTCTCTCTTTTTAGGATACAGAGCCAATCTTTGAGGAGGAATCAAAACCAATTTACTGTCAAAACTGCCAAAGCATTTCTTTTTGTGCATTCACCCAAAGATCACTTTTGGTGGTTTGCTCTAAATACTGGAGGGTAAGGATAACCAGTTAAGTAAAAGCTGGCTTTTCTTTTCTTTTCTTTTCTTTTCTTTTCTTTTCTTTTCTTTTCTTTTCTTTTCTTTGTTGTACAAGCTACTATAATCAAATGGTCTGTGAGGCATACATACAAAGAAGCTCAGGATAGTCAGATTCTAAATCAATTAGAGTTTGATTCCATTGAATACATAATCTCTTTGGCACATGTGAGCTCACACTGTGTTGCCTGCGTGTTTCCTTTGTATTAGAATAATACAGAAATTTATCCAAATGCTATGGTAATCATTAACAGAATGGCTAAAATATGGAGTAAGGCATTTGCTTCCCAGTGTTTTCTTTAACAAAGAAAAAGAAAGGATAAGAAGCGCAGAATTCCTTCTAGTATTGATTATGCAACTCCTAGAGTATTTTGCCTTCTGCCTCTGGAAGCTTCTCCCCCCACCCCTTCTGCATCAAAGCTAAAACATTTCATTTCTGCAAATTAGACTTGCTGAGCTGAAAAGATTTACCTCTCTCATGAGTTTCTCACCTGTGCTCTTTTGCTAATCCCTTAAAGATACTGTGAGCTGAGTGGCCTATTTGGGAAGGTTAAGATATAAATGTTTTTCATAAATACTTATTGCAATCACTTTAAAGAGACCATATTTCTATTTTCATTTTTAATATGATTTATTTACACTTTAAAGAATGGTTAGAAAGTACAGAGAAAATTACAAGTTCCTAGCTATCCAAACACTTACACATTTTATAATATAATGATTGGTTTTTGTTATGTATTTTTTCTTTTAGGTGTTTGATGCTGGAGATTATTCTCTGCTTTGTTCAGTCCCAAGTGAGAATGGACAGACTTGGACAGGAGGTGATTTTGTATCAGCGGACAAAGTGATCATATGGACAGAAGATGGTGAAAGTCTCATATATAAACTGCCGGCCAGGTATCTGCATTTATAAACAATAGGACAAAGGCATAAAGAGTCTTCCGTAATACTGAGAGAGCTGTTTCTCCATTCTTTATGCAGAACTTGGATGGGTGAATCCTGCAAACCAGAATATTAAACCATAGTTAAATCCTAGCAGGTTCTAACTAAATGGTAGTTGGAAAGAAACAAAGTTCCCTGAATTTGGATAGTATAGGGAACTCTGCCTCAGTCCAGTTTTGATTGTCTTACACACGAAGTGGAGAGGAAAGCAAAAGAGGGAATTGTGGGTTTGTGCCCTGGGCAAGGTTGGACCTATAATGCTAACTGAAAGTTAACTCTCTGAATTGGCCTTGTGTACAACCTATGAAAGTTGAAAGAAGCATGGTGTTTGTATTGTCCATATATCTGTATCAAGAAGATGCTTCCTTACCTAATAAAATACCAGCCCCTGTGACATTTTCCCAGGCATTTGGACAATAGTTATAGCCCAACTGCTGTGAGCTGCTCATGCTGTGATCATTCTAGTCTATGAGTAAAGATCTTGTGTATTTGTGGATGAACTTTTTATTACTGTACTGTGTTATAAAGATGTTTTTATAATTGTTATTAGTATGATTGTGCTGATTATAGTGTATATTGCTCTCAAACTTTCCCCACCTGCTAAATTGATAATCTTCAGGTATTTGCTACAGCCCCGAACTGCAGACTGTTAATTTCACCTCTTTAGGCATGCTTGGCAGCCTGATGGGTCAAAGTAGCTCCTGAAGCTTTCCTGGATTAGGTGTTTGCTGGTGTAGAGGGTTACTTATGGAAGGATGAAGAAGGGCTCAAAAAGATAGAACCACCTTTTGGTTTCAGCCCGAGAGTCCCCTTTTTCCTTCTTACACTATTTTTGTGCAACTTTGTATATTGTTGCCTCAACCCACAGCTAACTCCCTAGCTCATGGCCAATATATGTACACCAAAGCTGCTTTTATGACACTTACTTTTGCCATCTTTATATGGACTGGTGCTCATTATTTCTATGCCTCTTTCACCTCCAGTTGTTTGCCAGCCAGTGATTCTTTTCGCAGCGACGTTGGAAAAGTTGTTGAGAATCTGAATCCGCCTCAACTCTACTGTGTTGTGGAGAGAGCAGTACAGAAAGCGGATAAACGGGTAAGACTGTCTTGGTGCAGCTTCAGCATTCCCAGTGAGGGCCATAATTACAAGTGGACAGTGTTTCAGCACATATTTTGAAGTGTTTTTTTAAGGCCCGGGGCACTCCATCTGCTGATTTTATTTTGATGCTGTTTTAACATATTTAAAAGTTTATGCTCACGCTGAATGTTTTATATTTTAATTTCTTTCCCTCTATATCACCCAGGGAACTTATCATGGCCGGGCAGGCTAAAAATGTTGCTAAAACAGATTGAAAGTGCCTGATTTGTGCATCTGGCTGAATATTGTCTCTCCCGATGGGCTGGCTGTGTGTCTTTAAGCATCCATGCAGGTCTCTTTCCTAGCAATGCTTCCTTACTTATTTTGTAATGGGAGATACTGCTTGGTGAATCAGGTACCCATTTATGCACAAAAACACGTGGTGAAACAGGGATCCTGATGGATGAGGTTTACTCTACTTGTTCCTTGACCCTGAGATTATTTTCCCGGTTGTCTTACTTTGCAGTTATTAATCTGCCCTCCTGTTACCCAGTTCTTCTATGGCCGCAGGGAGTGCTTCCATAAATTGCTTATCCAGGGAGACTCCTCAGGAAGGCTCAGCATTTGGAGTATACCAAATACACTTGACCAGCCAGAAGGTAACAACTTCTTTGATTAATATCGCTGTTCTAAGAATGGCTTTCCTTATTCATGGTAATTGTATCAAAGCAGTTTCTGTGAGTGCTTACATTGAATTGCGTCCCAGTTCTTGTTCTTCCTCTTCTACCAGCAGTAGCCCATCATCAAGGCTGGATGGTTTCCGTAGAAGCATGACAAACATTCGAAATTATGTGATGGTTTTCCATTACCTTCTATGTAGCAGTGCTATGGCTGATTATGAGGTCTACCATCTCACCTGTAGTCTTCCATACTGAAGTCCTGTTAGCATCCCCTGGCCTCCAACTGGTACCAAAAGTGCTGCTGCCCAAGGTCAGGTGGAATTTAAATGCAGGGCTCCACAAACCTCCTGACTGGGCCCCTGCCAGAAACAATTGGCGTTCCCAAGGGATCGAGTTATTCGCCGCTGCCTGCAGCATCACTGAGGTTTGTGCTGGCTCTACTCAGCCTGCAGGCCAAACCCTCTGGCCCAAGGATATCTATAAATGCAGGCTGATACTGCTGGCTACAAAGGTAAAATGGTTCCCCTGTATCCTTACAAAGCCTGAGCACAGCCTGCTTTAAAGCTGGGCTGGGTTTTTCTTTCGGGGAAAGTGAGTGTGTATCTTAATAAATAATACATGAGGGAGAGTAGTGAAGGGAAATCCGGGGAGCCGGAATGTTGAATTGCTTAGAAATGCAGTGGTGGTGGTAGTTCAGTCAGGTCTTGCTTTGGTTTTCAAATCCCAATTGCTTCATCCGCCTTAAGCAGGCATTGTAGTCAGAATATGCTCCATAATCACTCTTCTTCCACCATCCGTGGGTTTCTGTCAAGAACTGTATTGTTGTGTGTGGCAGTATAACCCTTCTGATTCTGTTTTTAGGGCATCCCAAAAACTTTAAATTAAGTTCCCCAACTATTACTACTGCTAGTTCGCCTCGTAGTTCCCTTACTACTCCACAAACATTTTTACTAGCCTACCTGCCTAAACATACTAATCTTACTAGCTTGTGGGCAAAAAGAAGGAAGAAATCCCAACCTGAGTAAAATTTATTGGCTACCTAAAAATGATCCATCTTTACTTTATAGGCAGATGGCCAGAGGCTAATTGCATGCAAAGTTTTGAATGATTGAGACTTTATGAAAAGTTATGAGAAAGTCAGTATTTCTGCAGCACTCTTCTCAGTATTTTATTTATGTTTGCAAATCTGTTTTGTTTTAAAAATTCAGGACTGAAAGTAACAACTTCCACTTCCCTTCAAGAAGCATTCAGCAAACTTGTTCCTCGCCCTGCTGGAATTATAGATCAGCTGAGTTTCCTACCAAATAGCGAGGAGCCACTCAAAGTGACAGCGAGCGTGTATATCCCTGCACATGGTCGTCTTGTCTGTGGTCGTGAAGATGGAAGCATCATCATCGTACCAGCAACTCAAACCGCTATAGTTCAGCTCTTGCAAGATGAGCACATGCGTAGAAGAGGTATGTGAGCTTTAGTGTAAAGTGTGCAGAACAGAATATAAAATGCATAACTGAAGCATGACAGTGTTACAGATGTGTGAAGAATCTGCTTGGGAATAGAATTCAACAAATAACCATATAAAAAGAACTTTGATATCATTGCACTTTACCTGAGTCTGCCTTTGAAAAGCTTCATCTAGTCCAAAATGCTGTTGTCTGTTGATGCATATGAGGTGGAGTTTTATGCTTGTTCTAGACTATTTTTACTGGTTGCTTCTGGGCTTGGTTCATGTTTCTGGTTTAAAACCTGGTCCTGTGACCACATCAGGGTGCTTTCCTCTACATCAGACCTGGGCATTGTACGGCCCACGGGCCACATCCGGCCCGATGGCTGACCCTGACTGGCCTGCATGAGGTCACTGGCAAATTAAAAGTCAATACAAATATATATCGTCATAATATAGATGCAAGCAGTACAACTGCACTGCTTTTATCTTGAAGGATCTGCTAAATTGAATTGAATTTATTGCTTTTCATGTAATGTTAATGTTAATGTTTTTGTGAATATTCATTAAATAGTGTTGTTCTGTGCTCCACATTTTCATTGTAATGTTTCATTTACTGTTTTTATTGAGATATATATTGAGCAGAGCTGTAAGTGTATTGGTCCGGCCCTTAACAACTGTCAAAGTTTCTCATGTGGCCCCATAGGAAAATTAATTGCCCACCCCTGCTCTACATGAACATTCTCAGCACTTTAAGTTCAGCTGCTGTGTTTCCAGCTTCAGTTGCCTTCATTTCAGGAAATGAGACTGGTTTCCACCAACAGCAAAAACATTTTAGTTCCAACTTCAGAGCAATAGAATGCTTTTGCTTTGAGAGGACCACTGCTGATTCCCTTCAGTCTCTTTTTTCAGAGACCTAACATATGGTAGGCATGTCATGTGTGGAGCTGGCTGGATCTGGATGGCCTGGGAGGCCCCTTCTGACTTGCTCTGTTTCTATGTGTTTATATTTTTATTGCACAGGCCTTTGGAAATTATCTGAAAGTGACAGGAAGCAAGTTTCTGATTGTTGCCTTGAATTTGTGATAAACTCTAGTGTTCATCTTTTATTCTGGATGAACTTAATCTACTCTGTAAACCAAGTTGGGAACATTTGTTGTTGTCATCGTCACTGTTGTCAAAGAGAGAGATAAGAATACTGGAGATATCCTCCTATCACTGCAGAAGTAGCTCATTTTCTAAATCTGTCATTTGTGCACATATCCAGCTTTCAGTAATCATGTCTAGAGAAACTGTAAAGCACTGTAGGTAATTACTGCACTGAATCTCCTAAGAAATGCAGAGCAAGGAAGCCGCAGGCCAGGCATGTGGTCGAGGATGTGTTAAATGCCAAGTCTGATGCCACAGAGTGTTAAATGGGTTATTGTAGGGGATAATTACATCCCAAGTTTAGACAATCGGGAAAATGTAATCCAACACTTTTAATATTGACAGTATATGTTGACTTAGCCATTACTTTTCTAGGTTGGCCACCTCACCGAACTCTGCGCGGTCATCGGAACAAAGTCACCTGTTTACTGTATCCTCATCAGGTCTCCTCACGTTATGACCAAAAGTACCTGGTCTCAGGTGGTGTAGATTTCTCTGTAATTATCTGGGACATCTTTTCTGGAGAAATGAAACACATCTTCTGTGTGCATGGGGGAGAAATTACACAACTTTTAGTTCCTCCAGAAAATTGCAGTGTAAGTTGATGAATGCCTTCTTGTATTATGCCCTCATTAATTATGATGCATGTAAATTTAAGATTTCAAAATTGCATCATCTTTGTGTTGTTGCAAAACTGCAAACCTTTCTTGTTTAATGATACAGTGGTATGACTGAGTGTATCATATGAATATAGATTTAGCTCTGCAATAACCTTTGTATTGAAAGTAATGGGTATAGGCAAATGTGTTTTCACATTCGCTTGGCAAATGATTTTTATTTCTGTACTGACTTTAAAGGTGGGAAACCTTACCAAGGTGGTTGAGCAAATATATAAAGAAAATCATTGCTTTAAAATATCATTCAGATACAAATCAAAGCCAGAATTCATAGAATGGATTAAATTAAAAGACTGGACCATCCGGCGTAAAGGAGTACAAATCTTTTGCGTAGATTACTGGTTTTGGAAGAAAAACCAGTAATCTTAGAAGACTGGCTATGTGGTCTTCATAGCAGTGAACATGTAAGTGTTAAGTAGCAGCTTGCTAAAGAAACAGGCATGGAGCAAGAAAAAGTATCTTGGAGAAGGGTTTCCATGCTTCAGTAGGAGTGACTATATGGCCAATAACAATGCTTATGAAACGCTTTATGGAAGGGACATTATAGCACAAAGAACAATCTCTACATGTGGGTGCAACGTGGTTTAATAACATAACCAAAGAAGCTTAGTTTGTTGCATTGCCAATTTGCTAATTGAGAGAACTCATCCTATTGCCTTGTTGTTTGAGCTACCATGTCTAGGTAGAAACTCATAGGACCTAGTATAAGGTTCCATCCTTCATCATTGCTGAACATTTCGCCATGTAGCCTCTGCAGGAAGAAATGCCTTGCATTCGGTCACAGGTTATTTCTACAATGAAAGAAGGGGCTATGACTCTCCTGGGAGTGTAATAGAAAGTCAGGATGCATGGTCCAGTGCCAAATCACATGCTTTGAATGCAGAACTTCCAGTTGTGCTCTTCGGGGTTTGGAAAGATGGCTGCCTGAAACCCTGAAGAAGTTTTGCGCTACAGCTCCTAGCATTCCTAACCATTTTCCTTGCTGGTTGGAGGGGACTAATTTGGAGAAGGCTTGAGTAGACATTACTGACCTAGAGGATCTCACTTGGTTTAAGGCAGATTCCCGGGGTGGTAAGAAGCTGGATCAAAGCCAAACATAGGATTGTGCATGAGCTGATGTTCGCTGTACTATCACAGTGGTTGGAATGAAACTATGGAATGGCCTGCCAGAAGAGAGACATCAGATATTCTAGACTGCTACCTTTTGGAGAGAGTTAAAGGTGTATCTCTTCCAACAGGCCTTCTTAGATAGTTTTATTTAATATGCTTGTTTTGGTTGAAATTTTAACTGTTGTTGGTTTTAATTGCTTGTAAACCACCCTGAGCCTATGGGAATGGTGCAGTATTTAAGCATGCAAATAAAATAACCTACAGCTGTTATACAGAAGTGATTGGGTTTTTAATTGAGTAGCACTTACCTTTCTGTTATATGATATTTTTCAGTAGTTTACTTACGAAGCAAACCAATTTGTTCTAATGGATTTATTGCTAAAATTCATAAGTTAACGGAAAGTATTACTTCTCCTTTTCAGACAAGAGTGCAGCACTGCATTTGCTCTGTCGCCAGTGACCATTCAGTAGGACTTCTGAGTTTACGAGAGAAAAAGTGCATCATGTTGGCTTCCCGACACCTCTTTCCTATTCAAGTGATCAAGTGGAGACCATCAGATGACTACCTAGTTGTTGGCTGCTCAGATGGCTCTGTATATGTGTGGCAAATGGATACTGGTAAGGCCAACTGTGTAAGAAATGGCTTCAGAGACTCATTCAGATGTGCACTTTGGCGTTGCAGAGGGTAGCTTAACAACACTGTTCCACTTAACCTTTCACAGATTAGGATATGCAGATGATCGCTCTTGCCTTATTCTCTTTATTCCTTCTCAGAGGAAGTTGCCTTTGAAAAACAAAGCGGTCATGAATTTGGGGTTGTTTGACTTTTCAGTACTTGAGATCTTTACCCAGGCAGCTTCATAAACCACCCAGAGAGCCTTGGCTTTTGGGCGGTATAGAAATTAAAATAATACTTAAAAAGGGGAAATAACTGACCACAAATATTAATATATTTCTTTTAATGGCCTAATTTACTCAAGAGGAAAGAGATTTTAAGTTCTTAATCTTGAGCAAAGGGGACTGCAGGTGGCGCAGTGGTTTAAACTGCTGTGCTGCTGGGCTGGTTGATCGAAAGGTCATTGGTTCGAATCTGCACAACGGGGTGAGTTCCCGTTGCTCCGTCCCAGCTCCTGCCAACTTTGCAGTTCAAAAGCATGCAAACGCGAGTGGATGAAAAGGTACCACTTCGGTGGGCAGGTAACAGCGTCCCGTGCACTTCGGTGTTTAGTCATGCCGGCCACATGACCACGGAGACTGCGGACAAACGCTGGCTCCCTCAGCTAGGAAACAGAGATGAGCACCGCCCCCTGGAGTCAGGCATGACTGGACTTAACGTCAAGGGGAAACCTTTACCTTTACCTTTAATCTTGAGCAACTTTAAAAGACAGCTTTTAAAGACACATGTTAGACATTTGCTTTGAAAATGGAAGCTGGGCTCATAGTTGAGCAAATGTGCAATGGAGCTTTCCTTCCAACAGTAGTGCTTGTACTTTGTAGAGTCAGAGGATCCCTGGAATACATCATATAATAGAAGGGAAGTAGCATGGGCGGGCGGGGGGAGAGAGGAAATATGGTGGAGACATCAATATGCCAACTTTGGTCTCAGGAACACAAACGTTGAATATTTCAAGATTTCCAGATACATTGTATGGCACACAGTGGGCGGTACCAACATTGTGCCATCAGCTCTTCTGCTAATTCCATTGTGCAGGTGTGACCCATGGCTTGCATGGTGGAGATTTAATGTTCCCAACAGGAAGCCTGGATATGAGCAGGTACAACTAGCTTCTGGCTTGGGACTGCTGAGTGGAACCCCCTTGGCAGGGCCCCCATGGGCTGGCCTGCTCCTTCAGCCAGCATTTCTGTTCTTCCCCAGATGCTCTAGGAGTCACTGGACCACCATTGTGCAAGTAATGGGTCTCACTGTGAAATGAAATCATTAGGACACTGCTCCTGGTGTATTCTGAGTGTACACACACTCTGATATATAGCTATCCATCACTTTGGTTGTGCCCAAATATGGTAACTCTTGGAAGAAGCATTCTGCCTGGTCAGATGGCAGAAATGCTCTGTTTTGTCTTCGTGTAGTTCTTTCTGCTTCAAAATTAGCTGAACATTTTATTACTCAGATCCTGTGCTTTACCTAATGGACCCATGGGACATATTCAGAGCAATCTTTATCAAGACGAGCAGGAAATTCTCTAGTGAGTGTGTGGAAGTGATAGTTTCCAAAGACTGAGTTAAATGTCTCCAAGTTGAGGAAAATACGCACTTATCAGGTCTTTGCACTGGCCTGCTTTCCAGTTGTTTTTCCCAAAGCATAAAGGGTTAGGAGATCTTCAAGACTCATAACTTTCTGTCCTAGCACCCACAAAATTTCCACATCTGTTGTTGTTGTTTTTAATTAAAACAGATAAAATTGCTTTTTCAAAAATACTGTCATACATTTAAAAATCAAAGAATTCTAAAAAGATTGTGGCCCCAGAGCAGTGGTGACACTCTTTACCTAAATTCTTTGATGGATAATAATACTTGGTCATAATACAGAGGTTTTTCATCATCTTATGGTAAGCAAATAGTTTGGTGTTTTTTTCTATGGGAATGTATTAATGCCCTGACTCTTGTGGCAGCATTTTAAAAAATCTAAACAGTAAAGAGTGTTGAGCAATGACATGATTGCCTAGAACTTGTAATTCTCTAATTCGTCCATTGATGCTCTTTTGTAGTAAACCACGAGAAGTATGTTTCTCATGTTCAGTAGTTCAGAAGTATTTCTGAACATACTTAAACTGTTTATATAGCACTTGAGAATTTAAGGTAGTACAAAATCTAAGCATAGGGAAGATCTGTGGGAGAGGCCCTTCTCCGGGAACCCTCCGTGAAAGAAATCAGGAGGGTAGGTACTCGGAGGAGGGCTTTCTCTGCGGTGGCGCCCAATCTATGGATGCGCTCCCCAGAGAGGTCCGCCTGGCGCCGTCGTTATTTGTTTTTCAGTGCCAGGCGAAGACCTTTTTATTTAAGCATCGTTTTAATTGTTAACAGTATTTGCTTATTTTATCTGGCCAGGGCGACTTCTTTTATATTGTTATTTATTTTATATTGTTATTTTTATATTGTTATTATTGTATTTTTCTTTATGTTGTGAGCCGCCCCGAGGCTTCGGCGAATGGGGCGGCATAGAAACGTTTTAATTAATTAATTAATTAATTAATACTTTGCTCATTTGAAAAATAGAGGGACAATATGGCCTCGTTGCTACTGCCTGGTAAACTTTGTAAAGTTTGAATTAATGTCTGCTATAGCCAGTTTTTTTCATCCTCTCCCTGTCTTCACAAGGTGCCCTGGATCGCTGTGTAATGGGGATAACAGCTGTCGAGATCCTGAATGCTTGTGACGAGGCTGTGCCTGCCGCAGTTGACTCTCTTAGCCATCCCGCTGTTAACTTAAAACAGGCCATGACGAGACGTAGCCTCGCCGCATTGAAAAACATGGCCCATCAGAAACTTCAGACCCTTGCCACAAACCTCTTAGCTTCTGACTCCTCTGACAAAGTAAGCTTTTCATTCCTTTTCTTTGGTGATGAAAGCAGGTCAAAGTAGCTATTAAATGATGACTATGAATGCTTCTTCTTATCTATTGGTGCAATACCTGTCACCTAGCGGAGCTGTGAGTTTGGAAAGGTGTCGTCTATATTGCAAAGACCTCTTGAGATCAAGAGGTCTGTGGCTGCAAGGCACAGATACACAGTCCACCCTGTGGGGTTACTGTTACTAGAAGTCAAGAATGTGTGTTCAGGTCTTGCTCAGACCCCCTGACATCCCCGAGTTTTTGAGCTGAAGCTTGTTTCTACTACTAATGCGATATTGCAGGATGAATCAGCCCAGGTGGCTGTTTCTGGTATGAAAATGAATTTCCCTGAAGCATGAACTTGCATCTTTCTGCTAGTCTTTCAATGGCATAGACATTTGTGCTTCTTCTCCAAGAAGTGCATGTCCTTTATTTTTTAACCGGGTTCATATCTCTGGCTGCAATCGCCGTAATTCCCATCCTCATCAAATTCATGGTCAATCAGTCTTCAATCAGGTGTACCACCAAGGTAATGTTTTCCTGAGCACCATAATAAGCATAGTGCTACTGCAATGGAATTACTCTGTTCACATGCTTCAGACTGTTCACCAAGATTTTGTTTAATCACTGCAGCAACACAATGATCAAAATAAAAATTGTGATTTTTATGTCACAACAGTGCAGATGTTTGTTTTTTAAACTATGGGTTGTTCTGTACAGAGTAAGTGTTCTGGCTCCTGCTATCTGATCTCTGTTTCTGCAAGTAGGAAGGGCTAAAGAACTCAGGGATGCTCCATGTCTGGGTTGTTTAGCCTGGAAACGGGGAATTCTGGGTTGTCTCTTTTCCAGTAGCCTAGCGTTCCTGCTTTACCTGCTATCTTTGGCTGTTTGGGATCTGTAAACTGGACCGTAGGAAGCTCTGTTGGTAATGCTTTTCTGCCTGGAGAGAGTAGAGGAGTAGCATCCTCTTTCGGAGAGAAAACTTGCAAGTCTTTACCTATGCTTTCTCCAGAGTCTCCCACTTCAGGATTAAGTGGCAGCTTTGTCTATTATGCATGCTGCTTCTTACTGTGCTCGTATCATGGTTGTTGTGTGTGACAGGTATAACGAGTCACATTGGAGGTTTTGTCCAGGAGATCTGTCAGATTAGATGTTAGGAAGCTTATGGCTCCCGTGCAGCATTTTAATAAGGAATGGAACAATCAAAATGTCAAATCAGATGCCAAGGGAGGCTGTTGGGCAGTATTGGAAGAGGCCAGAATGGTGTCTGCTGCTTTTCATTTGATCAGAGATGGCAGAATTCAAATAGGGGTGGGGAAACTCAATAGAGCTACTGAGTCATGCTAGAATTTAGAACACAGCACACTCTCAGTTTCTCTGTTTGGTATATATATAAAAAGTTTGTATCGCTGCAGGAGTGGGATAGAAAATTTATGAGTGATTCCTTGAGAAATTGCATAAACCAAAGGGGAACTGATCAACTTTCCAGGAGGCAGGTGACAATCTTGCATAAAAGCTGTCCCTCCCCATTCTAATGGAATATTAATAGATGTGCATATATTTTATTTATTTCCTGCATGCTAATCACACTCTTAATCCTCTGATTAAGTGTCAAATCTTATATTGCCAAAATGATACCACCCCCTGTACAAGAGATGGCGAGAAATATCTGTGGAAGCATTTCCCCCCAAGTGAGAATGAACCTTCCTCAGATGGCCCAATCAAGAGCAAACGTGCTCAGGGACTATGGGATGCTGACTGTCTTTGGAGATGGGGGCAAGGACAGAAAATGAGGGGATGGGAAATGGAAAGGAATAGCATGGACATGATCCTGCACAGAAGCACCCCATACTGCAACATTCAGCTGTTGGGACAGAAATGCAATGAATAAAGAAGATCCAACATTTTGTTGCAAGTTTCACTTGATCTGTATAATTTATACAGGTCATAGGATCCAACTTTTCTTTCACTCCATTTGTGTAGTCTTGATACCAAACACCATCATGTTCAACTGCCCCAGCATCATCCAATGTACCAATAACATTAGATGCCATTTTTTAAAATGATAGGTTGCCAGTTACTCAGCGATTAGAGACTGCTGCTTAGCAGACAGTGTAGTAGAGTGGTTAGAGTGTTGTACTGGGATTTGAGAAATCCAGGTTTTAAACCTCACACAAAGCTCACTTGGTGACTTTGGGCCAGGCACTCACTCTCAGCCTAGCCTACCTCATAGGGTTGCTGTTATGAGGATAAGATTGAGAGGAGGAGAATTGTGTAAGCTGATCTGACTTACTTCAAGAAAAAGATTTTTAAGTATATGTATAAATTAAATAAATATGTAATAAAATGAATCCCGTGCTATATATGTCTCAATAAACAAGTCCTTCGTGCTGTAAGTAGCATTGTGAGATGGTGGCACTTTGCTCATGACTTTGGCAGTAAAACTTCAAACTGCATACATAAAAGTACATTGAGAAGTTGCATGGGATTCTTTTGAACAAAGGGTTTCCTTGCTTTTTACGTAGGTTTGACTGTAGAACAGCAGAGGGCATCAGAGATCCACTTTTTCTTATTAAGTTCGCATTTTTTTCTTGGAATTTAAAGCTCATCTTCAGTTTTTTGTTTGCAATCCCACATCAGGTTATACAGATTTTAGCTCTGTTCAAATTCAGGAAGAGCCACAAATGCAAAACTGAGCAGAAGGATCTCAAGTGGACTGTATTATCCAGCCATATTTCCACTACTACTCGACTGACTTGGTGCTCAGTCATCCTATCATTCGCTCACGGTTTCCAGGGCAATACATTTATTGAACTTTAACTGGGCAATACATTTGCCTGACAGAATATACATACAACCTTTCCTATGATGAGTTTCTGGTCTTTTAAGCTTCCTCTTTATGCATGCAGAATCACTGTAGTACTTGTAGAAGAATGTTTTTGTCTTTTCAGTCAACATTTAGAAGAGGAAAAGTAGTGGCCAACCCATTCATGCTTTCCTTCTCATCTTTGTTTGGTTGTTTTATCCTTTACTTATGATTCAGTCTGCTAGCTTTCACTAATGGATTGCAACTGGGTGGTGGTTGTTGTGGCTGTTGTTTAATATATTTCTCTATTTGTCATAACATTTGGATATGCACAGGCTTTTAGATACCATTCAATTTTTATTTTACTTTGCTCCTTGTTCCTGGAGTACCTCCTTTACAGATACTCTGTGCAGTATCTTGTACCAGTGCCATTCTTTCTGTGGCAGCTGCAGTGGGCAGACGGGAATTTGTGTGCAGATCTCTAGCTCCAAGGTTGGACCTCTTTTCCAAGGTTGAATCCCAGAATCTGAAAAATCCTTTGGCCCCCAGAAACTGCCCAGGAGACCATAGGATTGCTCTGCTGTAAAACTTTGAAAGCTGCACAGCAATCCTGCTGAATGCAACCAGAGCCACAGCATAAATCCAGGATACAAAGCAAATTTCCTTAATCCCAAAAGCGAGATCAAAGCAACATTAGAAGTGTTGAGGTCAGTTGATGAAAAACTTCCTGAGTAAAAACATTTTACTTTAAGGAGAAACATGACCAGATAAGTTAGTGGGCATAACTCCTTCAATCACCATGACTGATGACGTTTTGCCTTAGTAGATTCCCTGTATGATCATGGAAATATAGAGGAAGACCTCTCCTTGATCAGAACAAGTAAAGAAGCCCATACAGTACAGCAATTTCAGTAGATCAGTTTGAAAAACATGGAATTGCAGTCACCAAAGTCCATAACAATTGGATGCTGACATTTAGAAATCATTAATACTTTTCTGGACTGGTGCATTTAACTAGTAAATGTGCTGCTTGGAAGGGTGGCTGTGTGGATGGGTGGATGGATGGACTGACTGATATTGCCATAAGATATTATGAGCTGGTTATAACTAAAATAAAATACACAGACTTAGATGTAACAATATCTAGAGTAAATGGAAAGAGCTTTTTCTCCCCCTTTGGTGTGATTTGACAGCTGTCAAAAAGGTGAGCCATCCAGCCAAACCCAGGGCACAAGCAATCTATGCTTACAAAAGGGGATGGTTGATTTACACCATTTTCACAGAAAGAACCTCTTTTTGTGTGGTGGAAACAACACTGTTGTAAGTGTATCCTCACTTTTCAACTTGTTCCCAAGAGTCTAGACATTAGGGAACATGGAAATGTGTGAGCCATTCAATATTAAAACGTTTATTCTGCTTTTTTCCTGCCAATTGACAGCTCCCCAAAAAGGGGGCGGCTCACATTTTTCTGTTTCCTGACCATCTAGAATCACAGGAACAGCCTTAGTAGATGTTGCTGTGAAGGGGGTGCAAATCCCACCACACCTTTTTCACAACCCAGGATGGGTTGTTGCATCATGCAGACCCAGTCAGCAGAAGTTAATGGTGATATTGGCAAGAGAATATTAACCCCTTGTTAGTTTTTCTCTTCAGAAGGGGTCAGTTTTTATTGCTTCCCTTTGGAAACTTTTCTTGGGGATTCAGGATGCTGCAACAAGAGCATTTTGCTTGTGACAAGAGAATTATACTGAAAGGTGGTAAAGAGAAGTGATGAAATAGATGTGCTTTCTCCAGAACTGTTGGAGACACATCACTGTCAGTGTTCCACACCCTTCGTTAATTTCACTATTATAGACTGGCTGCAGAGGTGGGGGAAACCTTGTCACTTTGCTGCTGTCATGTGCAGCTTTTCCATCGGACTCAGTAATGAAATGCAATTTATGCTGAATGTTCCAGGGCAGGTGGCTGCATGCATAAGCAGTTAAGCTGGCGGGGGACGGAGAAGAAGCATTGCTGTGATGGTGGGGGCAACAACATGTGCATGAAATGGTTTAGCAGCTCCCTGGATCTGGGCATTGGCCAGGCAGTGTCCAGCTGCAATATGGCGGTCTGGAGAGTAACACTGGCTGAACTGAGGGGAAAGCTCTAGAAAGCAGCGTAGGTAATTGCAGCTTTGGGAAAGCCCTGATGCTGGGACTGGTGCCATCAACCATTGCTTGTTCCTGATTGAAGCTTTAAATAATGACCAACCTCTGTGCTTTCCCATCCTGGCCTAATGTAGATATGACTTCTGGGCTGGAGTTTAGGTGTATATGTGACAGGACTTGAGCAAGCAAGATCAGAGAGGATTCCCAGTGACCCCTTCTCATGTACCCAATTTTTATCTAAGGAATTTTGAAACTAATCAAAATAAATGAAACCTCGTGTTCTTCCTTCCCTTGATCATTGAAGGCTAGTGGTTTTCTGATGCTCAGAAACAAGCTCACATCTGGAATGGAACACTGTTGGACAATAAGATTTTAAGACATTTTTATTGCCTTTTATTGCCAGAGAGCTTTGGCTATGAGGCAATATAGAAACAAAACAAACAAACAAACCTTCTCTCAGGACCCACAAAAAGGTGTGGAGAACATGAAAACTTATGTTTTATATAATATATATAGTGACTTTAGTCTAATAAAGGTACTTATAGTTGGGACATCTGGCAGGACTGCTGGTTTGCATAAAAACAGTACATAGTGGACACTCTAGTAAATATATATTCATGGAAAAAATACCAAAAATACCAAATGCATGCTGCTGTCTTCCTGTTCTCAGACTCTTTTTGGCGTTGCACATGTAATGACATTTTTAACTTTAAACATATAACAAACCTGAATCATGCACATTTCGTGTTTTTCAAATGTTATTACTGTGTTTAGTTTTCTGCATAAAAGCCCACAGAGAGAGCAGTACACACCAAAAGGATAATCCTTTTCCATGTTTGTTGCAGGGAAATTTGCCTAAATATTCTCACAACTCTCTGATGGTTCAAGCCCTGAAGACTAACGTAACAGACCCAGATGTCCACGTGCTCTTCTTTGATGTGGAAGCCCTGATTATTCAGCTACTAACTGAAGAAGCCTCGAGGCCTAATACAGCCCTTATTTCCCCAGAGAATTTACAGAAAGCATCTGGCAGTTCTGACAAAGGGGGTTCCTTTCTGGGTGGCAAACGAGCAGCAGTCCTCTTCCAGCAGGTCAAAGAAACAATCAAAGAGAACATAAAGGAACATCTTCTGGATGATGATGATGAGGATGAGGAATCTAGGCAGAGGAGGGAAGACAGTGATCCAGAGTATCGGTCCAGCAAATCTAAGCCATTAACCCTCCTAGAGTATAACCTAACCATGGACACAGCCAAGCTGTTTATGTCATGCCTCCATGCATGGGGCTTGAACGGTGTCCTAGACGAGCTTTGCAGTGAGCGCCTGGGCATGCTAAGGCCTCACTGTTCTGTCTCTTTCGGTTTGCTTTCAAGGGGAGGTCACATGTCCCTGATGCTTCCTGGGTACAATCACCCTATCAGCAAGGTTCCCTCTAGTGAGATTGAGGTAGGAAAATCTGTGTCTCTCCCAGAGGGACATATCAGGGGTACATACGGCATTTCCCGTGCAGTAACTACTCAGCATCTTCTCTCCATTATCTCCTTGGCAAACACATTGATGAGCATGACAAATGCAACATTCATTGGAGATCACATGAAGAAGGGACCTTCCAGGTACCTTTAAAATATATCATATTCTTGTTTCGTCATTTGTCGTTTTCTCCCTTTACTGTTCCCTTCTATTGTATATATTTATGCATTCTTTACTTTTGGATCCTGGTTTTTTTGACATGCATCCCAGCGATAAATGAATCCCTTGATTACTTTTTCCACTCTTCCAAATGTTAGTTAGCGTTAGTCCAGCTTCTTCGAAAGCTCTCTGCTTCAAGGTAGATGCAATCGGCCCCATTTTGGGGACGGTGCTTCAACCAACATTTTAAGTACAGTTCAAAGTTACAATTCCTATTTTTTCTAATCAGGTTGGTATTTTATTATGCTGTCCTAAAACAAAGGGTTCTCAAGGTTGCAAATACAACAAAACAAGTCTAAAGCTGAGCACAGCATCTAATACTGCCACTCATTCTGTTAGAACTGATCGCTGGCACAAAAGGAAGCTAGCTCTTCCTAAAGCAGCCCCTGAAATGAGTCAGAACACTTGTTTCCAGAAGAGGGCAGATTAGTGGGATTCCCTTCTGACCTGTCCCATTCTGGAAATGGCAAGTTTGGGTTTTTTCCAGATACGGACTCACTAGCTCCCCGATGCACTAGTAGCAGGGCCTGGTGATGTATGGGCAGCATTGGATGACTGTATGAGGAACAATCTAGCATGCTTGGAGGAAGATAAATGTCTTTGCCTGGTGCCAGAAAGGTAACAGTGTAGCTTCCAGGTTCCTCTGGGAGAACAGCAGGTCACAACAGAGAAGGTCTTTGCTCTAGTACCCAACTGGCTAACTTCTTTCAGCAGGAGCACCTGAAAAAGGGCTGTAGAAGATAATCCAAAGGTCGAGGCAGGTTCATATGGAGGATTATGTTCTATTAGATACTCGGGGCCCAAACCATTTAGGACTTTAAAGGTCAACATCAACACTTTGAATTCTCCATTCACCCTGGGCAAAAGACCCAAGCAGAATGTCCAAAAGGCTCCTGGAAAGGACAAAAAGGACAACAGGATGTGTAAGGAATCTAATGGGAGGAGGGTGTGTGAGAGACTTGGCAGTAGGTAGGGGTGAATGTATTGAGAGAGAGAGTGGGAAAGAATGAAAAGGGTCCAGATGTCTCTGTGTACATGATGTGAGATTTCTGCCATTCTCAAGATGTTCTCATGTGGCACCCTGCCGGACCATTAACTTAGAAGTGTGCAGTATTTCTTGATCCTATATGCTCAATTCTCAATAATTTTATTTATAGACCACCTAGACCAGGGACTCCTGAGCTTGCTAAAGTGAAGACTCCTGCTCCAGTTGCTAGTCCAGCAGCTCAAGGGCTGATTAAGCAAGGTAACCTCAAGGCCCTTGAGATAATTGAGTTCAGTTGGAGTTTCTGAAATAATTTTGATTGGTATCTCTTTCCTTTTGGCATTTGGGGGAAAAAAAACACATTCTGACACCAGCTCTGAATTTAAATTAATTCACAACAGATTGCAAAACATGATTTCTTGCATGGAAATTAAATTGAAATGTTGTCATAAGTGATCACTTTCATAAGAGATGAAACTGATGTCTGCTGCATACATGCCATTCTTGAGTCCACAGAAGCCGCGTTTTCCCTTTGTCTGCACTTGACTTCAAGGCACTTTGCGGGTTGAACTGGTGATTATCTTCATCCCACCCACAATGCTTTGCACTCACCCTCGATGGCCTTTCAGTGCAGAATAGCAACCATGAGTTTGGAAACCATTTCCAATGTATATGAAATATGATCTAAGTGACGTTTGTCACATAATGGTGTTGACACATGATAGCTCAACTCGTGGCAGTTCAGTTCAGGGAAGTCAGCAAGAGCTGCAGCTGCCAGGTGGCCAGGTTTTGTACAAAAATTTGTTCCTAAACTGATGATGGTTGGAAAAATAGCATTCCTCTTAAGATCACTGGTTGTCCTGAGGGGGAAAACGTCTGCATTTACTCCAGAAGTAACTGTTCCTCTCTTTCATTCTTGGTATAATGGATTCTGAAATATTGCCATCTCCTGTACTCAGAGGTGAGGTGACTTTAAGCTCCAAGGCACTCAGCAATTATCTCTGCGTGATCCTAATCTAATCAATCAATCAATCAATCAGAACAGTGGTAGGAAATGTGTGGCCCTCCAGATCTGGTTGGACTGCAGCTCCTGTGAGCCTTAGCCAATTTAGTCAATGGTGAAGAGAGTCTCAGTTCAACAACTTCTGAAGCACTAGATTGTTTTCATCCGCGCCATCCCTGCCCTAGAGAACCAGCAACGGGCTATGGCTCCAATAACATTTGAGCCCTTGAACGTGCCAACAGACTTGTTCACGCAGTTCTGCTTTCCTAAGGATGACTGTTGACAGCTCAACTTTTGGGCCACAAGGCATCTTTTTTATAAAACCTTTGAAAATTAGTTGTGTGTTCCATTCATAATAGTGTTTTTGTTCATGGTGCAATACAAATACATCTTCCTGAATTAGATGCCATAATCCCTTACTAAAGCCTCTTATCACCCTTTTCCCCAACCTAACCAGATTCTGCCCTGTGTGGTTATATTTGATGCTCATAATTAAAGGCTACTTCACATGCAACATTGCAACCACATGCAAACTCTAAGGCAGGAAGAAGCAGCTTTTTGCAGGGAGTGATGACAATCATTTATACTCCCGAGATCCACTTAGGGTCGTCTATTGCCACTTGTGTTTTTGCCCCTGCCAGTTTTGGGGGTGGGGGGATGGCTGCACTGGAGAGAGGGGTCCACATGTTCTGCACCCCTCCTATAATGGTTTGTCCCATGAAGTATGTCTAAGTCTGCAAGGGTAAGGCTGCCGGCCTCTTTGTGAACTTTCAGCTGCGATCTCCTTTCTGTTGCTGTGCTCTCCTGTAAGAAAAGGGAGAGGCAGTGGTCTTGGCTCTTGGAAAGGGGTAAATTTGTTGCAGCAACACTGAACTGTACATGTGTTTACCCAAAATTGCATCTTTTCACAACTAATGGGCAGTATCCAGTGCTGCCGCCGCATAGCAGAATGCCACATTAGCACAACAGGGAGCAAACGGTTCCAGTAACAAGTAACAGATGCTAATTTCCAGCAAAGGGCTGGTCGGCAGAGTTGGTAGGACGCTCCACCAACTTTTCCCATTCTGGAAATAAGCGCTTTTGCTTGTTTCCGGTTGTTTTACGAAGCCATAGCTCCTGTTGTGTTAACGTTCCATTCCTTTGTAATGACCATAGAGGAACTGGCTGATACTGCAGAATGTTTCTAGCAAGCATGTTGAAACTAAGAATGAAAGAAAGGTAACCCATTAAGCAGACCCAATTCTGTTGGTCTATGCATACAAGAGCTGTATCCCCTGGTCATTAGGCATAGCTTGAACCAGGATTGAACCCTCAGTTTTTCTATGTTAGCTCTCCAGGCCCCCAAAGTGACGATGGGTGGTTTAATGCTTTTGCTAGTTTTACTAGCACTGGTCCTGTAAGTCTGCAGACCAGGTAGAATATAACCAGCTTCTATCGTACAGCTTTCAAAACCCAAGCTGTGCATTCTAAAACATACTACCCTCTTTCCTATTATCTGCTTGCCTAGAGGCGATTGTTATTCTTCCTAGGTGTGTGAATAATCCCATTTTTTACTAAAATATAGCTGTTTTTTATGAGTAGATGGGTAATAATAAAAGTTGACAGTGCCTCATGGGTCTAACAGCTTTGTACCAAAGTTGGAGGGCTGTCCTGCCTAGATTGGGTAATCCCTTGTCATGAGGCTGTTTAAAATTCATTAAGCCATGTACATTTCCATATGCTCAGCTTCAGTGCAGACAAACTCTAATTGTGGTAGCCTGGTTGTGGAAAGATGTGCAAGAAAGGCAAGCTGGAAATTGGGCATACAGGTGCACCAATGATTGTAGATTCCTTAAATGAAGTTTCTGTGAAGTTTCCTAAGTCTTCCTGCCCCTTTTGAAATAGAGTGGATAAAGAAAAAAAACTTCTGCTTTCTTTAAGGTCAGCTTAATAGCTGAACTGTCAAGTGAACAATAGCTTTCATTCATTTCACTGTTTTGTCTTTAATGGACAAATGAGCTGATATTAAATTAATTTTCAGTGTTTATGTGTTCACTGTGGTGAAAAAGGCTTCCTTTCTCTCAATAGCAGAGAAACCTTGTTGTGTCTTGAACTGGGAAAAGCACTTTGCTGTTGTCTTATCTAAACCAATGTGCAGAGGGAGGCCACACAAAAAATGCCACCCCTCTGAATACCTATTAATGACGAATCTTTGAGTCATCAGTCAAACTATCAAATTCTTGACTTTCTGCCCTGCTCATAAATAGGAAAACTAAACATATAAAGTAGCATCCATAAGATTTAAAATTCCAAATCTTTATGCTCCATTTAAAGGTTTCCACATCCACCCTGTATTGTTCGAAGTGGCCCCTATGACGTTACGTATTTTTCTAACTTCAACTTAGTTAGAGCCGTTGCAGTGCAGTTAGCATAAATTGGAGAGAGGCTGAATGTGATCGATGGATGCAGCATTTATTTTCAGATTGCCAGGGAGCCCAGTGCTACCAGCCTACCAAGCCAGCTGTTGTTGCTTTCAGTTGCACTGATTGATATAAACAGTGACAGCCAGAGAGATTGTCCTCTTCCCCCACCCTCATCACAAAAGAGCGAAGCTTAAATATCGAACAGTGAACTTACGATTGGAGTCCAAGTGTGCATTTTGGAAATCCCTTGAATGTATCAGTGCGAGTCCTTTACGAACTCTGGTGCATCTATTTTTGGGGCCGGGGTGTGCACATGCGAGCTGGTTTACTGCTTTGCGCGTGCCACCATGATGCATTCGTGTGGAAATCATAGCAGATGTCTTAAGAGTGACAAAAGAAGTTCACTGCATGAAAACCAAACATACCATTCAGGAAACAATGCTTAATCTGTTCTGGATCCTGAACCTATTGTTGTTCTGCAATGGAATAAAGGAGAAGGATTAATTTGAAGATGCTTGTGCATGACATATGGTAATTCTCTGCAAGAAGGAAGTGTCAGCTAGTGACCTCTAAATCTTAACATTGACCTCTGGTTGTAGAATGGTGTGTGCCATAAGGTCTGCCTGTCCTTTCATATGATAATTTGATTCATGGAGCATTAGTGAAACTATAAAGTTTATGGCTGCCTTTGGACTGCCTTCACATTAAAAATAAGAACCCCATCCCAATTCACAGAATGGCCATCATAAAACTGCAGAAATTTTAATTTGGCAAAAACTATTTTGAGCAATTAACTTTTAAGTGGCTTCCTCACTAAAAGAAATGGAGAATGCACACTAAATCAATCTTAACGTGGTCCTAAAAGAGATTAGTTTTCAAGGTGTTTTATTCACCCTGGCCTTAAAACAATTTTCAAAGGTCAAAATTTTCGAAATTAGGCTTTATTCAGGAGGCAGGGAGGTGTGCTGGTGCAGCTGACTGTCTGTATCCCTCTTCTTTAGGCTCATAATGGTGTGTGTTCTAAGGGCCAACAGACTAGCGCCCATCGTGACATTTGCTTTCCAATGCCGTGCACCACTGTGGCTGGGGTTTCGATCCACTTCCTTGCACCCCCCATTCCTTATAATGGAATTGGTGCAGTGATTCTTTGGCTGAAGTGCAGTTGGAAGTAACCGGATTATGTTCCTCTGTTCTGTAATTGATTTATATTTCTGTACCTGACACACTTCTCAGAAGGTGCTTGTATGGTAATGGTTTCAGTTAATATAGCCCCAGAGAGTTCTGTTTTCCTTCATTCTTTAGCAATACTAACCATTTCTTTTTTCTGGGAACGTCTGTCTTCATTTTCCTCTTTATTTCTTCTTTCCTGCTCAAGTTGCTCCTGCTGTTTCTGCTAGCACTGAAGCTGATCATTCTGGCTCTGACCCTGCTCCTCCTTTACATACCTGTTTCTTAGTAAATGAAGGTATTCTTGCCTCCGTTTCTATCTTCTTGCCTTTTTTCCTTAACTAACTTGCTCTCTTGTTGTTGTTACATGCCTCTCTTAATCCACACATTCATTCACTGTGCAATTTGAAGACAAGCTTCACTTAGCAACCTTTATTTGCAACTAATGATTAGCCTTAATTCATTTTCTCTGCCTTTAGGGCAGATCATGCCTTCTTTAAGCGATGACTGTACATCACTTAAACAGCTAACTTATCTGACTGGGAAAGAAATTATATTTAATGTATTGAGTTATTTAAGTTCAATTTGTCAAATCTTTTTCATTTTGGTGGCAGGAAGGGATCCAAAAGGGGGAACAGCAGCATAGTTTAACTATCCCAATTACAGAATAAGAGTCTGAGCAATTGAATTCCAACTGTGGGGATACTTTGGGGCCTTAGAGGAAATCTGTTGCCTTCTGAATTGCTCTCCTAGTGAAAGTTTGCACAGTTGAATTGCAACTGTAGGGACCCTTTTGGGGCTTAGAGAAAAAAAATTACCTTGTAAATTATCTCTCTAAGGACAGTTAGCTTCATTTTAGAATGTAGATGGCCTTATTTCAGTAGGAATGTATGTAAGACTTTTGTTGACATTATTTAATCTCTAATGGCAAAGGAAAAACCTGAAAACTTGTGTATGCTTTTCTAGTTCAGGCTTGTTGCTGTGTTAGTTATTTTTTCTTGTAGAAGGACCTTCAGCTAGTATGGGAGTCTCTCAAAAGTCATACAAGCAAGATTTTGGGTAACTACAGGCATTCAGATTGTGATCTTCAAGGGCCTAAAAACTTATTGCTGCTTAGCTTTGTTAACTTCAGTAGAACTAAGCTGATTCTAAGTGTAACTCACATTGCTTGCAGACATTTTCATAAATTTTTCCTGTTTATGGATTCTGTCCCACTGTGACTGTCTGCCAGTGTAGCATATGACCACTAGCTGAACAGATTTTTCCTTTTTCAGTAGTTCAAGTGTGTTTCCTCCCCCAGATTTGATCCCAAGCACTGGGGTACTCCCTGGAGTAATTATGGGAGAGGAGGTGCAGTAGGAAGGAGAGGAACAGGACTTCCCGTTGTTGTCACCATGGTGTCTGAACCCAGCAACTTTGTGTTAGTCATCGCTTAAACAATCCAAAGTTAACCAATGGTTGTCCTTAGCTTAATTTAGGAATCAGTTGAAAAGCGTTTGTATCTGGTGGTGACGACGCAAATTTTGTGTTAATGAACTAATTCACATATGATTTAACCCACTGTTATGATAGTTCCCCTGCATTCTGTTCCTTAGTTGTCATGCTAAGAGACAAGTGCTTCATTTAGTTCTCCATTTAGGAGTTGCAGGTATTCCTCTAAGCAGTGATTATAAGTGACCCATTACAGATAAGCACCAAACCAGCCTACCTCCTAGACAGCTGGAATTGCCTGCATGTTAACAATTTTTTCCCCATTTTCAGTTTTTGAGTAGAAACTCAGCTTTACTAGGGTAGGAATTTTCAATCACTTAGGTTGTATTGATATTCATCTTTTTCCTGGGTGTTGCTCTGTTTTCTTCTTGATTAGTCACATGAATTATCCCATCCACACAGGTATCATTCAGTGAAGGAAATGATGCCACAATTCTGTGTAACCAGTCAGACTTAATTACATGATGACATCAGTGAGGGTATTGAAAGTAATGGCAAGTAAGGCAATTTAATAAGCAAATAGTTTTGCAGGGCAGCTTTTTTAAAAATAAAAATAAAATAAAATTGGAGATCTGTTTTGGCACAGCAAACAAAATAGTCCTCCTTTAGCTCTAGCTATTAGAGTCCACTAAAATTGGCACAACATATAACGTGTGCATGAGCCTAGACATACTTTAAACTTTAAAATAAGAGCATGTAAGACATGAAGCTTTCTAGTTATTTGCAAATAAACCTCTGAAGTATTGCATATTGATCCATTAACAATTCCACCATAAAAGTAGTTGCCTTTTAAATCATGTATTAGTGAACATCATAAAGAGCATTTAATGTGATGCTTTTGGTCGAGTAATAATGTTGCTTAAAACTTTGTGTGTCTTTCTCTTCTGGCTTGGAAAACTAGTATTGAATTGATTTTTGTATGTGGGATGTTGTTGTTGTTTTCCTTTGGATGGCTGAATGTCCATGTTTGGCTTTACTTATAGGCTGCAATCCTGTGCATAATTTGCTTCCTGTGCATAATTAGTTTAGCTTGTAGTGTGGTCAGCAGGACCCCCAAAAGACTGAGAGTGATACCTAATTGTTTTCCTGCTCATAGCTGCAGCCCTAAATCATAATAAAAAACATGATGCTTGGGCTTGGGAGTTGCACGTATTTTCCAGCCTTGTTGCTATGGCATTGAGTATGCAGGACAATCTGCCAAGAACATGAATCGCCAGTGCTGTAGCTAATGATTCTCCATCACTCTTCCTCTATACACCTATGGGGAAGGAGTATGAAATATTGATCAAGGTGTAACTTTCCTACAAATAAAACAGGGAGGGGCTTAGAGTGTGATCATCCATGTTAGTCTCTCTCAGCTGCTAACTCAACGCCACCACTTCCCTCTCCCTCCCTCTCCTGTTGTGCATAATAACACACCAGTACCTTAGTCATCCTTACAGGCTCTGTCCCTTCTTGCTGCTGAGCTGTTGCTAGTGGTGGCCTGTACCCCCACAGGTGCAGGGCAGGATTGCAGCCTTTTCCATGTATTTCTGTGTCCATAATCATGTGATTAATCTAGAGCATGAAGAAGAAAATTGATCGGGAAAAAATTATTTGAGGCAGAAGAGGAAAGATTAGTTAAAGATTGAATCTTGTATCAAGTCTAGGGAAATGAGATTCTCATTTTAAAAATGGCATCTCTTCGTATGTGTCATTCATCCTCATCTATCCTCTGGATTTAATAATGGAAGGGGGCAGGAAAATTGATACCAGTGTTTGCCGACGATCTTGACTTGTTTAGGAGTAACAAAATAGGATCTCGGGTATGAATGTTATAATGTTCTCCCTTCCTATTAAATTTTTACCTGTTCATGTAAAAAGGAAAATGAATGGTTTGCATTCATTTTACAATAAGCCAGAATTAACCAGAAATCTTGACTTATCATAATGGGCAAAAGTAGCTACAGAGTCATAAATATAAATATGTTAAGCATGTTTGTACTCAAGGTGTCTGTGAGCTGAAGATATTTTCCACAAATGGAAGGTCAACTTTGGATTCGATCTTTGGGATGAAACATGATGTGGTTTTGGATCATGAATCCCATTGGGCAGAGGGTCAACAGAAGGGAAGAAGAAGGAACAAGGTGGTATTTTTCTGATTGCCCTGGACATGCAACCCTTTGCTCAAAGGCCTCCAGCTTCATTTTTAGCTCAGGAAAGGGGGTTCTTAGTTGGCTTAGAAATAAGTTACAGGTGCATGTTATAGAAAGATAATCATTTGGGATGGGTCGTTTCCTGATTTAATGCCCAATACAGCTTTGTTTCAGTTATGATTAGTTTGTTTACCTTTTCTGCATTGTTTCCCATTTAAAGTTATAGAGAACAGCAGGTATTCCTTGTAGATGAGATGGAAAGCCAGGAGCAAAGGCAACAATATAAAGCTTGTGTCATTATTATGAGCTTCAATTAATTTTGATTGCCTTTGTTATCAGGAAGGGAGGCTCACATGCACACCTTTACTATACTGCGTTAATGTTAGTCTACCCATTCAGTGCAGACGTGAGGAGGACTCCCTGTGTGCAAGCAAACCAAGGCAATGCTCTGATTGACTAATACAGTTAGGGTTGCTGATAAATATAGTCGTACTTAACTGTTGGCCTAATAGTTTTTATATAGTTCATGTATTTCTTAACAGGATGGAGTCAACTTGCTGCTATGCATTGTGTTATGCTCCCCGACCTGTTGGGCTTGGATAAATTTAGACCACCTCTCCTTGAAATGTTGGCTCGTAGATGGCAAGATCGATGCTTGGAGGTACCGTTCTTTTATTGCTGGCAGCAGCGGGGGGAGGGGGGATGGATGTGTTGTCCAATGTAAGGAATATTATTTTTTATGTTGGATATATTGTTCCAAGAAAGTATACTATAATTCCAGTTTAAAGGTTGGATTTATATATAGGTATATGCAATTCAATTTGCAGGTCAGTTTTGTAAAATGGAGAGTTAACATCCCTGTAAAATGGAGAGTTAACGTCCCTGTATGACAACAGTATATTGTAGTTAGATGTGAAGGTGGACTTCAGAGAACAGGATTACCACAAAGGACATGATGAATCTTGCCAGCCACTGGATGTCATCGTTGTTCCATCAGAAGGTGCAGAACCACTTCTGAATACCAAAGGCCTTTATTCCCATAAGCTACATACTGTTTCAATACATTTGGCTTAAGCTGCACATCGTTAGTTGTCTCTTCATGCATCAGCAGTTGAATAACTGCTGCAAACTTTTATCCTTTTCAGTACTACTTCGCTTATTTTTAAAAGGAGGACACAAGGGAGAAGGGACATGTATGGAGACTAGAACTCTGTGCCACTACCCAGGAAACTCTCATTCCTTTATACATATTTCTTTGCTGTGGAAAGCTGCTATGCACATATTAGTATTTGTTCCCTGGCCATGCTTTTAATTTCTGATATGCCATTACATTTTGTCCAAGTGGGTAATGATGGCAGACAGAACAAATCAGAACTATATCATTAAATCAGGATTCTACTGTATTGAAATTGCAGAATCATTTTTGTTCCGGTGAAGAGAAAGGCCTTCAGCTCAGAGGTTTCTCAAGCCAGTTTTTATAGAGATGCTGCTGAGTTGCTTGAATGTAACTCTGCTAGCCGGCAAATGGGGTTGGCATGTACTATTTTTGATAAATGACTATCTGGCCTTGACATCACATCTATGCTGTTGTGGCAAAAAAAATATGTTGATTGTGCAGCTTTAAAAGAAATATACGAGGAACAGACCTGTGACATTTACAGTAGAGTTTTTGAGCTAGTCCTCAGCTTAATTGAAAATCTGCTGCTCTCGTTGTGCAGCGTGGTGAAGTCCGTGCACATATGGCTGATAAAACCTTCCTCTGTGCCTGACTAATCTTTTATTTCAGTTTCTAGTCTGCTTCTTGCCAAGGCCTTGGCAGAAGGAAGGGCATTTTTGTTTTTTAATGTAGCTGGTAAGCACCTAGCAAAAGTCATGGGTGCTTTAGCTTTAATTTTCATGAATGCTGGAGTGGGAGATGGATTGTTGGAAGCTACATGCAATCCGGCACCTCCCAAACCAAGTTCTGTACTGATCGCATTTTAAGCAAATACCATTACTTTTAGGAAACAGTTCAGTGTCTCTGGCCAATGCTTGATTCTTCATTACCCCTGTCATCTTTTTAAACTGTGCCTAAGCACCAGTTCATATAGTGGCATGGAGTGAATTTGTCTCAGTGGCTTTTCTTGATTCTATACTCACTGCTGGAATTAGATGGGCTCCTTCATGAAGCTAATTCATATTTGTCTGAGAATCTTCCATTTTGTTGGACTTGCTCATGTGGTTCTGCTATTTGCAGTTCGTAAAAGCAGGACTGTAAGAAGCCTCAGGACAGCAGCTTTTCCTGTTCTTCTGCTCTGATAATGTATGATGAAGGCCTCGGACTAATTGTGGGTTACTGAGCTGACTAAGACTAAATTCTCCTGCATGGGAATGGGTGATATCAGGTCTTAGTGAATGAAGTTGCTGGATTTGCAAAAAAAGAGCATTTCTAAAAGAGTGCTACTTATCTTACAAACTGTGGTTTTGCCTGCACTAGTTACCATTAGCTGCCAATATAGAATTATTTTTATATCTCTGCATTGTACATGTTTTTCCCTGGAACTACTCCTTAACTTGCTTAACGGAAGACACTTTTTGAATCCCCATGATTTTTGCTTGGGCAAGTTTGCAAATACCCATTGATATTAGGGAGAGCCATTGCAAACATATAATCTGGTTCTATTTGCAGGTCAGAGAAGCTGCCCAGGCCTTGCTGTTAGCAGAACTGAGAAGAATTGAACAGGCAGGAAGAAAGGAAACAATTGACATGTGGGCTCCCTATTTACCACAGTATATGGACAGTGTTATATCACGTAAGTATTCTGAAAGCCACATTTATAATCCAAAGCCACACTTACTTAAAATAATGGGCTTAAGAAATATATCAGCAAAGTAACTGTGAAAATATATATATTTCATAGGGGAAGCTTTATTTTGGGTGTGTGTGCTTGGGTAGAAAAAAATCCTTAGAATTATGGCTGCATGCTGTGAGCTGTAGAACTGCAAAATAAACACTGAGGACTGGAAAATGTCAAGACATTCAGCACTGCACAGCTTTCATACATATGTTATCATGATGCCATCTCATCAAAATCATACGTACAAGTCTCCATAACCTTTTTATTCAAACATTATTTTAATTGTTAATATTTATTTATTTATTGGCCAGGTCGACTCAAATTGTATTGTTTTTATATTGTGTTTATTTATTATTGTGAGCCACTTTGAGGCTTTGGCAAATGGGGTGGCATAGAAGCTTCCTAAATAAATAAATAAATAAATAAATAAATAATATACAAGCAGTAGCACAAGCCATTTCCAGATATGGCCTGCACAGAAATGGGGAGCAGGGAACAACATTAAAATAGATTAAAATACACCTCTTCACTAGCTTAAATTATACCTGTTTATCATTAAAGGCATCTAATGATCAAAGGAGATGTCCCATTCAAGACTGTTCCACCCACTTTTCATTGCTTTTTTTAATTTCATAATTATGCAAAAAAGAACACTAGTATTAACATTTACCATTCTAAAATGTATTTAAAACATTTATACCCTGTCCATACCAAAGGTCTCAAGACTCTAACATGGAACTAGTATGACAACATACATTTTATTTATTTGTTTATTTAATCTCTATAGCACCCAATAGCCTAGCTGGGCAGTGTGCAACATTTCAATGAAATACGAAATATAAGTTTCGGCATGGCAGGGGGGGCAGTCATTAAAATAACTCAAAAATTTTAAACCGGATTTTAACTACTTAAGCAACTGTGACCAACCCATCCTGTTAGGCTTGCTAAAACAACTGGCAGTACCCTCAACCCCTCTGTGCTATGTAGATTGCCAGCAGTGGTGCTACAAAGGAAGTAAAATCAGTGCCAGGCAGACCAACGTGGGGGTGTTATCCCAAAATTTGGGAACTACCACAGGGAAGACTCTGCTCCTTGTTGCTGCCAGCCAAGTCTCCCTTGGAGGTGGCATCCAGTGAAAGCCTCAGACGTTGAATGTCGTGTCTGGGTGAACTGCATTTGTTACAGATCTTTCAAAAGCTATCTGTGCCCACTTCCGTTATATCCAGGCTTCTAGTGAAAAACCTTCTGGAATGATTAAAATAGATTCTTCTGTAGGTAGTTCTCTCTCTCTGGCCCTCTCTGCTTGTAATATAGTTACTGATCCAGAAACAAATTCTATGGATCTTGCTGGTTGCTGCTGGAGTTATCTTTGCATTCTCAGCATGCCTTTCCTGAATAGTGCTCAGGTCTCGGGCCATCCTCATGCAGCTCTTTACTGTGGTTGGACTTCGTAGGGGCTAAACAGCCTTAGCATAGATCGGATGCGGTCCTTTTCGGTTCTTTATCTGGAAGGCTGGAGGACAATTGCAAGTCTAGAACAGGGTGACTAAAATACCAATGACTATGACATGAACATGATATATCATTTATCCTTAATACAACATTAAGGATAATTAATACATTGTATACTGATACTTGTATATGTGTTTGTGTGTGTGTCTGTCACAATCATCCTGATCTATCCTGAATCTGCATATATTGGCCGGTGTTACCAGTAACAGTAAAGTAACAGACATTCAAAGGCTAAAATGCCTGAGAAAATAAGGTGGTTTTCACCCAACGTCAAAAGGACGGCCATATGCATCCCGGTGGAACCTTACCAGGAAGGCTATTCCAAAACTTGGGTGCCACATTTATATATAAAATATTTCATGATAATGAGAATTGTTTTACCCAAATGCACTGAATTTCTTTTTGTAAACAATACATATTAAATGTTAATTGATTTTTTAAAAAAACATATAAAAATCTTGTTAAAACTAAATGGGATATCTAATTTAGATTTGCGTACTGTCATTCTGTTTGTTTCAAGAACAAATTTCAGGAAAAATAATCTTAGCATTTTTGTCTTTCTTTTGACACAAATATTATTTATGTTAAATGATTACATTTTCAAAAAACCCAGGATTGGATAATACATGGCTTATGTTCAGATGGCCTGATGAGCCAGCGTTTTTCATGACAGGAATGAGCCCCAGTGCCCCTTGGCCTTGTGTGTCCCCTTCACTCTTCTACTCCTCTACCTCAGCTGTAAGGAGAAGATGAGAAACGTCGTTCTATTTTAGTGTTATGCCTGACCTGCCCAAAAAACTGTGGCTCTTGGGTAGTTCAGAAATGTAATAAATGACACCAAATGGAATGAAACCCTATACTTTGGTTAATTTCAACGATGGCTTGTTTGAATCAAGCTAGTTTAATAGCCTATGGATTAATCACAGTTCAGATCCAGTGTTAAGCTGCAGATGATCCTCATACTGAGGAACATGAGCAGGATGGTGTTTCACTCGTGTCCTGCTTGTGGGTGAGCTGTTTAGCTGCTTTGTGAACAGAATACTAGACTAGATGACCTTAGTTTATTCCAGCATGGCTCTTCTTACGTGCTTAGATGGTTACTTGTTATCCTATTCTACATGGCCCATTTTTTTTGATATCAGGCAGCTTCCCTCACCTGTTAAGGGATGAACTTGGTAAAAGTCAATTAATTTTGAAAATGCTGAAAAGGATATTGTTGTACCTTTGAACCCATGTCAGGCTGGATCCCATTCCGATGGGGATCAGCCCAGTTGCAGCTGTGGTTGCATGGTATGCTTGGGAAATCGGAGGGGGTGACGATTATGGGAGTTTGTGGCAGTGGTGAGGTGGGGGCAGAACAAACCCAGGTCAGGCCAGGCCAAACCTCAGCATGGTCCAGGGTGGGACTTGGCCTGGGTCTGAACTGTTGAAATTCAGTTCAGAGCTTGCCTAATCCTGTCCTGAAGCTCAGCACCATCACTATTTTTACCACATGGATATGAAGGACAAGTATCTCCTTGTTGCGATTCTTCCAGTTCCAGTATACAAATACGCCCTGAGTCATAAGATTATGATACACTTCCCAAGGAACATCATGTTAGCCTGTTGGAGCAAGAACAAATGTCAGCTTAATGGCACTGTAAAGAATTAAGAAACTGGAAGTGGCACAAGTTTTGTTGAGTACAACAAGGTGCACATTTTTGTGTGGAAGAAGAAAGGAGGGAAGCTGCCAGGTGCAAAGAAATATATTTACTAAACTCAGTGTATTTCAGATATACAGCTTCTTTTCAGAGGGAATGTGCTATAGCAATATAAGAAGCATTTAGATGAAATATAATAAGAACAAAACTTTCATAGAAAAAGCATATTATATTTTGTATTTTTACATGTAAATTGAAACAGAGTGTTTGATTAGACCCAGAGAGAGCATGCATACTTAAAGTCATGACTAACTTAGGTGCCATTGGGTTAAATCCAGTGCCTATTGTTCTGCCACAGGAAACAGTTCCATCAGCCAAATTTGGGAAGGGGTCATTCTGCTTGTCTGCCACACATTCTCAAAATCTGTTCTGGAGGGCTGGGAAAGCCATTGAAGCAGAATTTAGTGTGTCAGAGAGTTGCAGGAGAGAGGAAAGAAGAAAGTCCCATCACTGTAACAGACTTCCAGTAGCATGAAGTTGGAGTTACCTCATTGATTCCAGTAGGGCTGCACAGTAAGTATGACTATGCACGGATCCAGCCCATTATTTGGTGTAAATAAAAATCTCAAAACTACATGCATGGTTAATACCAATGCCCTTTTGTTATCAATAACCCAATATGTTTACATTAAATCATCAAAGCAAACCTATGCATTTCTGGCAGAAAAAAAGTCCTACTACTCTTAGACTTCTTCAGTCAGTATGGCTAGCTGAGAACTGTGGGGGATTGATTGCTATAGGAGAGCAGTTTAAATTGTGTAACCCTAAACAGATGTAGACCCGTACTTTCAGAAAGCCCCCTTACTAATCTTGTGCTTCAGTGGCAAGACTTGGTATGGAATTCTCTGGGAGCAGAGGAACCACTGTAGTTGAATTATATATCAGTTTAAATATTGTGCCAAACCACAGTTAGCATAAACCAAGTTTTGCACACTTCCATTAAATCATGATTTCTGCTTTACTGGCTGTGTACCAAACATGGTTCATCACCTGAATTATCACACTAAATCACAGGCAAGAGTCCTTAAATGTGTTTTGTCATTATTTCTCCATTAAGCCTTAATGCTTATCACTGTACACATTTGGGTTTTTTCCCCTTGATGTGATAGTTTTTTCCTTCATTACCCTTAATGATATAATTCAGGTGTTGGGTTTAATTGTATAGAATGAACAGGCCATAAATGGAGAACAGATGTTTCGGGATGCAATTAAAACTGAGTAGAATATTTGTTAAATGTAATTATTTGAAAATGAGTTCTAGAAAATCTTATCAATAACACAAGCTTTTGTGTTAGTTGATCTAGATGATCTCATGGGAAAGTTTCATTAAACTGTTTTTAAAGAGAGGGAGAAAGTATGCAAGGGTTGTGGGTACAAAATGTTTCAAATTGTTAGTAACACCTTCTTGTTAATGGTGTTGTAATAAATGGCCTAATATATTTGTGCCGAAAAGTATGATATTGATTTGTGCCATTAGTCTATTTCTGATTTGCTAAAGAACTGAGCTTTTTATAATGCTAATGGAAATAAAGAGCTTTACAAAACACAGCACATGAATGCTGGAACATATCCCTGCAATAGACCAGTGTCTAGAAAGCTTTATATATATTTACCAGGATTTAGTTTGAGGCAGACTTTGTCAGAGCCTGTATGTATAGCGTGCATAAAGTATTATAAGGTATTTTAAGGTATTTTTATGTTATTTCATTGTGTCATGAAAAGTTTTCAGGGTGACTCACTATA